AAGTCCCAAGGCTACACCAGTATAATTTTATACAGTATTCTATACTCTGTATTTATAAGATTTTCAATTAAACAAATAATTTTCATGGTGTTTCTCAGAAATTTCACAATTTCTATCAATTAAAATCCAGTATTTTGGCTACAAAATAAGAGTGTTTTTTTGTATAAGAACCTATTGTTCTTTGCCAGCCTAAATAGGTTCTTATATATTTGGGTACTAAAATGCCCAATTTCAGCCTGTAGGTTCTTAAATCACTAGGTTCTTATACGCGGGTGTTTACTGTATTTCATGATTATGATTAAATAGGATCAGGAAACAAAGGAAACTGAGACTTCAACTACAGTCAATTCTCTCTGAGACAGAAACCTTAGGGACCGGCCCCAACTGTCTGTCTTAGAGAGGTGTCCAGCTTATAGAGAGTCGAGGTAACATGACACCAGTAATGATAAGAAAGTAAAGTCGAACCTCTTTGTGATGAATACACGTGTTTTACTTGTGTAAAACACTAAAAACTGTTGAAATGTATTAAAAAAGTGAATCATTTTCTCATTGTTCAATCACCGAAACTTTCATTACAAGGAAACATTCATGCTCACACTTCTTTGAGTAAAAGTTTTGACTCGTGCGAAACAAACAGTGTAATACAGTATCTCAAGGCTAACCGAGAGTTTAGTGTAAGAGCAAGAAAATAACTTTTTCACTGGCTAACAAGCTCCTGTTTTTGTTTACATCAAGTGTTGTTTAGAAATGACATGACGGTTTCAAGATATGAGCTGTGGGAGAGTACAGACACATACTGTATTTGGTTATGTCAGGAGAAAGGTGTAACGTTACAGGAGAATATTTTGAAAGAGGTTCCACGTCTGAATAAAAAATAGTCATAGGCTACCGAACGTTAGCTGGAGAATTCTGCGTAATAAACTGAGAATTCTCTGATCTCTGATGCCTAATGAAAACCCTGATCCTGTGGGAGTGGAACTCTTCTCTTATGTAAACTCTATCTTTTGTTCCAATAAACTTGCATTGATGCTGGCAATGTGAGTAAAAACATATCCGTTGATTTCCCCGAGATAAAAAAAATATTCGGTAGCAGACATTTTCATGCCTTTGATGACAGGACAACCAGATGTTAATTTAAAGCAAGGGGGTGGGCAGTTGATGAAAAAATGTATCATGCATTCTTTTCACCCCATCTCTTCTCAAAAATGACCAGTCTGCTCTACAAAATAAGGGTTGATAGACTGGACTTAGATTCTATTAGAAACCTTGTGAATCTGTGGTTATTTTTGCCAAAATATTTTTGAAATTAAGTTCAGGTGAATGGCCTTACCTTGTCCTTTGTTAATTCCTCTTTAACAATCTTTGGATCTCGGCAAAAACGTTTAGGCTCTGGCTTTAAATATAAAATAAATAAAATAACAAAAAGCTGTTTATTTGTTCTTATTCATGACACGAGGGAAAATAATAAAAGGTGAACAAAAACATCAAAAGTCAGTGGTTTATCACGTTTCATTGCATGCCGGTTACTGAAGTACGTGTAATATCAGCAAAAACAGGGTAGCTTTTAGTTATTTTCAGTCTGTTATTTACCTGCTTACGCCCAGATCTGTCACGTCCAAAACTTTGCGATGCAACCCTCCCTTGTTGCTGATTATCTCTCAAACATGTTGTTTCTCCATTCTCGTGGGTTTGTAGTTCTCTCTTTTTTAACTGTTTTGTGATCACTACTGCATCTCCAGCATCAATGGCCCTGATGATATCTTTCATGTTCCACTGCTCAGAAATGCAATACACTTGGTGTGCGTTCTGAGGAGTGTTTGTAGTGTTACCTGTGGGATTACCAATATTGCTATCAGTGGCCATGTGATTAGATGCTGTCTCAACAGGATTTGAATCCCCTGGAGGTGAAAGTGTATAGCTTCTGTCTGCATTAACAGGTTGAGTATTCATCAGAAGAGTAGTTACTGAACTCAGCACTGTGGTTCCAGGACTGTTTAATGCAACTTTGTTGTTAAGATCTGCCTGAGGTATTATTCTAGGAAGCTTCAGATATGGAACATCTTCCATAGCCTTGTACAAAACAATAGGAGGTGTGGATCGCAAATTGTGATTGGTATATTCCTTGGACAGAAGTGCCTGACGTGACATGTCTTTCATCATTCTTGACAAGGCATTCAGTCCAGCTGGTTGTGCCTTGTACCATTGTCCGCTCAACTCAAACTCACTATTATTGGGTATCTGAAAGAATACGGAACAAGCAGGGTTTCTCCTTTTAAGGAATAATTTCAAAGCTGCAACAGGGCACTGCAAGCTTCCAGGTACACTGAACATTTTTCTACCGGTACATTTACTTTTATTCCTCTTCAACTGAGTCGATACAGAATCCCATAGGTTGCATGACGCATACTCTAGACCACTATTTTCATCAATATGGAATTCAAACATGCTGGGTTTCAGATCACGCAAGTTTTCTCTGGAGATAATGCCAAAATTAATTCCTATACCTAAAAACACCAGGTGCTGAAGAGACTTAGGTGTCTTTATTCCCACTACACCTGTCGCCCAAAGTTTATGAATGTCATCCACCGTCAGTAGTGAAGCACCAGAATTACTCTCTGAAGAATCTAGCAGTTCTCTCTGTGAGGCTTCCAATTGAACTAATGTGGTATTTGCTTTGATAAACTGGGGTGAATGAGTCAGACTGTATGACTTGCAGTAAGGTGTACTCCTCAGGTGATGATCAATTGCTGCACGTATGATTTTAAGAGAGCTGACTCTTTTGGTGCCACCATGTTTTAAATGAGACTCCTTGTAAAACTCTGATAGCCTGTCACTTATTACTTTTGGCTCCCATTCCTCAAACACTTCTGACATTCCTTTGCCTTTTAACCACTCTAAAAATTATATACAAAAAAATAATGACCGTGATTCACTGATTTATACCCTATGTTCAGAAATTTTAAAACAAAGATTAGTGAGAATACCCAAAGATTTGAAATCAACTTGATATCATTTTCAAATGAAAAAATAAACTATGTTATGTTGACATATACCACGAAACGGTCAAATTAAATAAACAATGACAAAAAAACCCCCTCATCTAACCTCCCAAAGATATCCTTAACCCTTTAGAGGACTTTGGTCATTATGAGAAATAAAAATGATCCATACCCAAATATCACTGATATCAGAAGAATACAAAATATTACTTTGCTAGTTGTCAATTTCAGTCGGATTAAAACCAGTAAACCGATTGCATGTATAGGCTTATGTTACCTTTAAAGAGTCTCACGTGTGCTGCATAGTGTTTTGAAGTGAGAGTAGAAATGATCCTACGGCCTTGATTTTCCATGTTGCTATCATCCTCCTGTACCTCTTGATCCTCTGAGTCAATTACAAAGTCTTGTCCATTTTCTCTTTTGTACATTTCATTTGTATCCACTTCTACGTTTTCACTTTCAACGACAACGTTTACAGTGTTTAGAGGAGTCTTTACAATTACAGCATCAGTTTCACCGTATGTTTTCTCCTCCTTTTCTTGGCCGTTTTCCTCGTTTCCTTGCTGAATACCCTTTTCCATTGGGAAAACTATTAGTTTATAGACAAAAACACACCAGAAAGGAGATAATCCAAGGACATTTTTCGTATATTTTTCGCGCCAACAGCCACGCCACCACCACAACAAAAATGTAATGCCTTGAAAACCTTAGCAGCCAGGCAGTCTTCACTTGGTAACCAAACATATCAATGTTTTCATTTGGACTCAACGGGTTTTCGGATTTCCTCATTTTCGGGGTTATTTTCGTGGGTATCGTTGTAGGTTATTACTATAAACAACTCAAAATTCAGCAAGAAAGCAGGTTAGAATTTGCCGAGAAAAACGTCCTTGTTGTAACGGCTCATCCGGACGATGAGTGTATGTTTTTCTCTCCCGCCATTTTGAATCTCAGAAGATGTTCCACTATTAATCTTCTGTGCCTCTCAACTGGTAAGAGCGTATTTTCATCTCATATTAGTTACAATTTAAATCATCTTTAGACTCTTGAAATAATTTAACATGTTAAACACAGTGAAACAACATTTCCCCTACAACACTCTACCCCACCTCACCCCTCCCACACTTCGTTGTTTATTTCTCCACTTAGAAGAGCCATTCCATTTACTAGCCACCCCTACCCTCGCTATGGATGAGTTAAGTTGAGGTAAGCTAATTTCCTCTAAGAAGAAAAAAAAAGATTAAAAGTACCAACACAGACCCCCCACACCCCCCCGACCCCCAAAGTCAGATAGCCTGTTTTTTCTTTCCCCGTCATAAAAAGGGACTTTTTGACCATGCTTTGATTCTGAGACACACCTATCACTAATAGATGATTTAGTTTTTAGTTGTTTCACAGCCAGTCCTTCATCAGGATTTTTCTCCTCCCTTTTCAATAACTTTACATAGATAAAACACTACTTTGCGATAGTTAATTTATCATATTATTTGTTTTTATCATTTTTATTATTTATCCCAGGTAACTACTACAAACAAGGCAAGATAAGAAGACAGGAGTTGGTATCAAGCTGTGGCATCCTTGGAATTTCTTCCAATCATGTGACTGTAGTTGATCACAGGTAAACCATTTACATAACTACACAGACTAGTTATTTCATCGACTGATAATAATAGAAGTCAAAGGCAACCTTATGGTTGTGTTGAAATTTGGGTGCTTTTGCAAATAAAGTTGAATCCAGGCGAAACAAGAATGCTCTTACAGCGGTATTAAGTGTTGCTTGAGGAGGCAATTAATAATTCTACACGAAACAGGATTTACTCGCTAAAGGTTTTTCACTTCCTACTTTATCGACAGTGGAGTATTCTTCAGGACATTTACTTTTTATTTGTTTCTGAATTCGTTTAGTACGCAAGATAGCGATGACCAGAAATGTGTCTGTCGTTGCAGGCTATACCTGTGTATAAATACATGAAAATTCAAGGGCCTCAATTCCAGAGAAATTACATCACTGCCAGATTACATGGCTCGTCATTTCAATCATCGCTGAAAATAAACGGCATGCTCATCACAAGACTCATTTGCATACAAGGAAAACATACAATGAAAGTTTTTTCCAACCACTGTAGTGACTTCACTTGTTCCAAAGTAATCAATGCTTTCAAGCGATAGAATTCATGGACTGACCTGTTCTGGAAAATCTCTAAACTTAATCTTTCGTAAGCTTTCTTCGCAAAACGTGTGTGGCTTCGGTCATGCAACCATTCTTATTCCCAGTTTCCAAAGTCTCCGCTAGGAATGCCTGGGACCATATGCATGATCTCTTTTTTGTGTTCTAAATACAAAGAAAAACGGCTTGCACATTATGAGTCTCGCTGCTTACACAAGTGAGAGTAATTATGTATTCTGTTTTTAAGAAAGGATACCTTACTTTACTTTGACCATACAGTTCCCTTCCAGATGACCCACAAGTGCAGTGGAATACTAAGCTTGTTGGCACAATTATTGCTGACCATATCAAGATCAACAGAATTGAAGTGGTAAGTATTTCTTTTGCAGACATGACTTGCCATATTTGCTGGCACCTTCCTCAGTTTTGACTTATTATTGCCGGGCAGCCTTATGCGAGTCTGCACTCTATTCTCTACAATATTACAATACATGTATTGTCTTCCAGCTCTGACGCCAACATTCACTTTCAAATATAAAAAACTCGTAGTATACCTGCCTAGAGAATAAGGTGGTGCAGTATTTTCACAATGGTCCCAGTAGGGTGGTGTTCAGGGACCTACCATTGCTTCTATAATAGTGAAATTGTTTTTCACTGGGGCAACAGCATGATTGGCATTGCTGTGATCGGGATTCTAACCAAACCTTGAACAAGCAGCTCTAAAGTACCAAAATGACCAAAGCAACTTGCTTTTACAATTTATTTCTCTTCATATTTTAGTTTATGATGTTAGTACATAAACCACAATTATACATGTCTTGGTATTGAAATGATGTTATAATTTTTTGGCACAAATATTGCCAAATAGACCTTTTCAGCCCGTGAGTTCTGTTTTCCCTTTGATTTTTCAGACCATGTGATGTTGTCAAGGGAGTTTCTTAGGTCTTTTTATAAATTATGCATACATATACATGTTAATAGGACAACATTTGAAAGACTGCTCTCTAGAGTAACATCACATGATTTAATATGGGTAAACAAAAGATACAAGCTAAAATAGGTCTATCCATAATATTATGCTGAACTGTCTGACTGTTTCCTTTGCCCACAATAGGTTCTAACTTTTGACTCTTCTGGGGTGTCAGGCCACACAAACCATATTGCTATTTATAAAGCACTAAAGAGACTGAATGATGAAGGGCTGCTAGAGAGTATTGCTATTTATACGCTAAGCAGCACAAATTTATTGAGGAAGTACATCTCATTACTGGATCTTCCCCTTAGTGCTCATTCAAAGTAAGTATCATCGAAACCCAAATCAACTCTTTTCAACTCAACTTTCACTTAATGTTGAATAAACAAACAGCTGAGGTCAGGCTTCTTCATTCTTGTGGTGAATGTGTGCAATTAAAATTAATTCCAAGATGATGAACCTGTGGTGGCTCTCACCTAGGCCCAGGCCCCTAATTTATTGAGTTACATGGAAACAAAGACGTAATTCCATCTCCAATAAGGCATCTTTGCTGTGACTGGAGTCAGTCCTACAATGCCTCCATGGTATGGATAGCAAGTCCTTTGGCTTACATTTAATACTTAAGCTATAGAACTTTCCAGTTTATTGAGTTGTAGAAAATTTAGTTTTTTGTTTAACTAACTGGTCTTGGGGCTAGGAGGAGCACATTTTTACTAGCCCAGCATGAAGTTGTGGGGTAGTAGACCAGTGTTAGTGTCGAGCGCTGAATCCTATACTTCACTCATTATTGGTGAAGACTGTTCATCATCGTCATCATTATCATCATCATCATTCTTACCATTATGATTATCATCATAAACAGTAATTAAATAAAGCAAGTAATATTTAAAAAATATTAATGGCAAATTTTGATGTTACTCCATTTTTAGGCATATGTTTCTTTCAAGTCCTCAACAGATTGTTTTAGCGCAGGTGAGGGTTTTTTCAAATCCATGTTTCAGATCCATGTTACTAAATTATTATGGAAATGTAACACTAATAACTGAAATAAAATACATATGAGTAATATGAGTTTTTCTTTTAACAGAAAGCCATGCATGCTCACAGAAGCCAGTTGGTTTGGTTTAGAAAGCTATACATTTTGTTCTCACGGTTTATGATTATCAACACCCTCGAAGAGCTAAACTGAAAAACTGAGTTGCAACTTAATTTGCTCCAGTCATAATCTCACTGTTAATACGAAGGACATGGCAGGATGATCAGTTAGAAAAAATGCCTACGGTAACAAGATGACTCAACACTGAAATGAGCTTAGTAGCAACTGCATAATTTTTGTATGCTTTGGCTTGGACAGTAAAAACTAAAAAAATCAACACTACATCCTGTTGTCACAGAAGCCAGTTGGTTTGGTTTAGAAAGCTATACATTTTGTTCTCACAGTTTATGATTATCAATGCCCTCGAAGAGATAAACTGAAAAACTGAGTTGCATTTTAATTTGCTCCAGCCATAATCTCACTGTTAATACCAAGGACATGGCAGGATGATCAGTTAGAAAAAATGCCTACAGTAACAAGATGACTCAACACTGAATTGAGCTTAGTAGCAACTGCATAATTTTGTATGCTTTGGCTTGGACAGTAAAAACTAAAAAAATCATCACAACATCCTGTTGTTACATGTACGTGGACAGGATGTGCACAAGTCAGTAGTCATAACTGACAGAGAAGCAAAGTAACTTATTGGTGAAATGCATCAAATACTAATCAAGTCTTTTTTATTGGCCTAAAAGGAGATATACATTGCAGTGTATTTTTACTATTACCCTTTAGGCCCAGTTAAAACGTCAAAGTTTTCATCTACCGATCTTTATACAGTGAAACTTCTATTAAGCTGACACCTTCAGGACCTCCCCATGTGTCTGCTTAATAGGGGGTGTCTGCCTAACAGAGGATTGTAAGAATTGTGCAATGTTTGTTAAAGATTAACATTCAACGGTTACTCCGTACTGTGATAAAGTTCCATGAAGTGCTGTAGTTTGGGCCAGACTTTTAGGTGAACTTTGATCGTTGATGACAATCATACGGATGGATATTGGTCTAATCTACAGTTTATTGACATCTAAATGTATTGATTTATCTTTATTAATCAACTACAGTACGTATTTCAAGGACGTAATCCAATATTACTAGCCTCAATTCAGTCGGGTCTCCACTTAATAGAGGTTTTTAACAATAGAAATTAGCCAAATACAATCTATTTTAGTGTCTGCACCTGCTTAATAGAGGTGTCCAATGAATAGAGGTTCATTATAAAGGGAAATATGACATTAATTTCGGGACCTGGCTTAGTGTCCGCTTAATAGAGGGTGTCCGCTTAATTGGGGGTCTGCTTTATAGAGGTTTCACTGTACTTATTTGGGTTGACCCAAATGATGTAAGTTTGACGCTTGATTCAGACGTCAAGCTTATTCTTAACCCATTCGCTCCTGGAGATTTTGCCGAAAAACGCGTTTTGAAGCTAGTCGAGTGCTTTTCTGGTCACTGTAGTGCTATAAAGGGCTAAAACTTACCACAAACCGGTTTACAGGTCGTACACTTGGCGGCCTTCTGATCCAGATGCAAAACATCAGCTTGCGAAGTTCGGGCATGCGCAGAAAGCAAAATTTCGAGATAGTTTTTGGGTTTAAAAGTGACACAGCAGTCTTGACTTTTACTTTTCGCTCTTTCTCCTCCCTTCTTTTTTCGCTTTTCTTGCCTCATTTTCTTTTTCTCTTGCTGGGCATTAAGTAGGCTTCATTTTGGTGGGAAGAGTTTTTAGGAAAGCTTTTAGGATCTTAGGATTAGGTGAAAGGAAAGGTAGGTGGGTAATGGAACAAGATTTTCATGGTGATTTTCAGGTCAATGTCATGTGGTTTTTTGCTTCTTTCTCCGGTGTCTTTGACTGAATTGTGCTCATTCTGGTATGGTTTGAAAGACCTCTTCACTCTACACCAGTTAGCGAAGAAAGTTGTCCTTGACCGTTAAAACTGATGACGTCACAAAGGGTAGAAAGGACCTGGATCCGCACGGGCGGTTACGGGCGGTTCAGGGGCGAATGGGTTAAAGAATTAGTTGAGAGAATTTGATTATGGATCAATGTATTTTCCCTTGAGTGATCATTTTATTAAATTCTCGTAACTTATCTTATTACAGGGTATGGATATTGTTAGGAGATAATTGATCTTGGTCACCATTAAAGGGTTAATTTAAATGTCAATCTTTTCATGTACTTAATTGAAGGATTAGCTTTGGTACATGAAAAGATGGATGTGTGAACTGGTCCATATTTCTTTAGTTTCTTGTTAAACTGTAACTTCTTAACATTGCACCCCTCTCTTTGTTTTGAGTTCTACTACTTTGTTACAAAAAATAAATAAACATCAAAATAATGTGTATTTCTCACAAGTTGAACACAGCAGGATCACTGTTTACATCCATATTCTTACATTTACCTAGTAAGTATTTGAAAATAAAGATTACAGTAGAATGAGGCATTGCAGTCAAACAAGCTTTACATAGATAAACCTTGGAAATGAGGATTTATTTTTATATAAATATACAAGCAGTGTGTTTCTGGCAATACTCTTTTGGCATCCAAAATACTTGGAAATTGTGTTACTTTTTGGTTTCGTAACATCAAGGAACGTTTCAGTGACCTTGCACTTTAAACTTGAAATGTAATTTTCAGTTTCCCACAAAACAAGTCACCAAAATGTCATTTGAGAAGTTGGTCATCATCATCTTTCTTTTCTTTCAATATCACCACTTAAATAGTTTTTTATTCTTTTGTTTCTTATGTTTGAGCCGTTTTAACTTTCTTTGCTTGTTAAGTTTTTGTAGAGCTTCCTTTCCAAGTTTTTTCTGAGGTCCATCTTCTGGCATTTCAACATCCTCTGGCAAAAAAGGAAGGCCAAATGACAGTTAGTCCCATAGAGAATATCCAACCCTTTTTTCTGTATCACCTTCCACAACAAAGAAAAATGAAGCATTCAACCCCCCCATGGGTACTGCCATATATGGGCTATATAGGTATGTGCCACTGAGAACGGTATAGTTTTCAAGCAGTTTACTCTGGGATAGGGTATATAAATCCAAGAGTTTGGGTCTAGAGTGGGGTATCATTTTCCAGGAAACTAATCAATTGGTTGAAGATTTTAGTTTAGACTAGGGAAACCGTGAATTGCCACTCAAAAATATAATAAAAAAATAAAATTGGCAAGTGTAAATCTATGCAACTCAGCCTAAAAGCTACTCTAGGATAGGGGGAATTTGGGGAGTTAAGTCTATTATAGGGTAGCAAAATTCAGCTGAAACAGCTCTGGTATAGGCTATGGGTTCCAGGCTCCCAGCGGCACATTCCCACCCCAAAATTCCTAAAGTACCTCCCCCAGGGATTCAACCTGTACCTGAGACACCCATACAAGGTACATATGCATATGTTGTAGTTTTTTATCTCAGTTAATTTTTATTTTCCCATTGTTTTAGGATATGGTAATGTGTGCTAATGAATTTGAAACAAAGGAAAAACAAAAACTAACTCCACCTGCATCCAGCCGCCACCCCCCCCCCCCCAGAGGGTTTTAACCCGCCCCCCCCCCCCCCCCCCCCCCAGAGGGTTTTAACGGCATGTTCTCGATTTTACATGTATGCATGCATTTCTTCATTGCTTACCAAGCCAGAATTACGTAGGGAAATTGGAGCTATCGATGTGAATCAACGTTTTTTTGGTTATTGAATCAAATTTCTGTTGATATTATTTGAAGAATATCCTTTCATATTTATAAAACTATTCATAACATATAACTTTACAGCACTCTATTAATTTTAATGTCAATCATTTTATACTAATACTAAAACCCTAAACTGGTGCATGTCGTGGCGGCGTGAAGTCTTAATTAGAATCCTCGTGCTATAACAAAAAAGGAAGACGTTAATTAAACCAAAAAATCGCACATAAAAATGCTTAAAATGGCACCATTTGACTGTGCGATCAATGAAAAATGTTGCAGTGTTAACGGAGGACGGGGCATTTGCCTTCTTTTTTCGTCCCCACCCCGGGGTATTTGACAGCTCAAGAGCCCCTACCCCCGGGAATTTGCCGTCTAAGGCAAAAAAAATGTTAATGCCTGGGGGTCAGCCTGGGGGGGGGTCTGGGCACAGGTGGAATTGACTGATGCATTGTTATATGGCTTTTGTTTGACACCAACTATAATCCTTGGTGTGTCAGTTATTTAAGAGTTCTTAATTGGTGAGTCGACTTCTTGATGGCGATTTTATTGGTGGTGAAGTGGCAGGATTTAATTCTTATTTATTCGAATATGATTGAGCCCCATTCTGCCACTCTATCAACTTTTTAAACAAAGGTTGGATCCTCGCAGGTAGAATGGTATCATAACTTTGTTAGACATTCACCTGAAACCAACAATTGACTGCAGATTTTCGAGCCACCTGACTACAACACAAAAAACAGTCTGAATAAGGGGTTGGGAGCTACTTTAACTTAAATTACTTTTTTTGGTGCTGAGCACTTATTTACTGACGAGTGCATGACAGTAGCTCATCTAAGTACAACAACTTTAATTTAAGGTGAAATATTAATTTGCCGGTATTAGTACAAAGACTCCTTTTTGGGAACAGCTGTTTTCATGGTAGAAAATGCTATCTTTACCTGTGCCTTCTTCGTTGTTTGAGGTTTCCTGACTGGCTTGTGGTATTTCTTCTTGAGTTTCTTCCACCGTACCCCCTCCAGATTCCTCCGTTTCCACAATCATTTTCTTATCATTTATTCCAAGTACTTCTTCTAGCTTTGCTTTCACCTTCGGCTTCAGTTTCTGTCGTCTTTCAGCTCGTAGTTTGCGTTTTCTTTTCGACCGAATACTTTTCGCCATTTTGTCTTTCGCAACACATGTGCGCTCGGTAGGGAATTGGAACCAAGGCATTTTAACTTTTTTTCATGTATGTGACCCAATGTGTCTCGCAAAAATTTAAAGTTCAAGATGGCGCTCGCTGCCAAAACTGCAAGATTGGCCTTAGGAACAAGCCTTATAGATGCCCAGTACTTGGCTGATAGAGTGATTTTCATTAATAGTAAGTATGTCAATACTAGCAAAGTACGGAGAAACGTTGACCATTATTTTCTGATCAGGCACATCTTTTGGTGTTTGTCCTATGAAACCGAGCAAAACTTTTATTAATGCACATGTGAACCTTTTTGTTTACTATCAAACAGACGATATCATTGCAATAAACAAACCATATGGACTTCCTGTACATTGTAAGTAGAGAAATGAAAGGCCTGGTTTGTTTTTCAGGGGGATTGAGGGGAGGGTTGAGGTGGTCTCTTTCTCATGCTTGGGGGTAGGGGTACTGTTATTGCTTGAAACTCTGATCTTGTTAAGGAGAAGAAAAAGAAAGAAAGAAACCTAAAATACTTACCCTGTACAGGGCAAATTTAATGTAATAGGACTGATATATGCTATAATGTCTTTTTCTATTGTGTGTGTGTGTCTTTCCCCACCCACAGGGGATTTCTTTTTAGACAAAAAAAAAAACCACCTAAACCAGTCCCCAGTATGAGTAAGTAATAAAAGAATTAAGAAACAAAAAGGTTACTCAAATGCACATTTAATTTAGTCCCTGGCAAACAAAACAACGTTGAAATTTAACAACCTGCATGTTCAGCCAGTTCTCAAGTATGAGCCAAAAATAGGTAGTACTGCAACTTGTAAATTATTCTTTTACACGATTTACTTTGAACTTGGTGATAATTTATTGATGCAAAGAATCAAGATTAAAACTGCACTGCATCATGAAACCTTCCTTTTTCCTTCAAATTTTAGAAATAGTTTTTTGCTTTCCCTGGTTGCTTTCAAGGATAGTGAAATCCTCACATTTCTTCATGTGATGTGTCATCACAAAGTTGAACGAAGCCCCCACATTTCCAGCTCCCAAGAGTTAGAAAATGCTTGACCCTAGTAATAATTATTCTATTTATGATCTGGATTCCCCTCATCACTCATAACATTAGGAGAGCCAACAGTCACGTAAATTCATCTGATTATATTGAAAATTTTCCTTTAAAGCTGGTCCTGGTGTAAAGATATGTGTGATGGATTTGCTTGATGAGTTTACAGAAATAAAGAAACTTGGACAGAAACCAGAGCTGGCACATAGGCTTGATAGGTAATTTAAAATTAAAATCTTTTGCCCTTTTCTAATAATTATGTTTGTGCATGGAGGCTTGGTGGTTGATTGGTTACCACCTTGAACTCTGGATCTGTAGGTCCTGATTCAGCCTTTACTATCCCAGTTGCACTATCTTAGTTGCACTTTTACCTAACATTATTTTGCACATGCTTTTGAAAAAGGATATGAATTTGATGGAAATGATGAAGCAGGCCTTGCTAATATATAAGGAAGTGATTTGCTTCATATAAAAAAAATTATTGTAATTTATCTAGTTAATATATTTGTTACATTTTGGTTTTAATGGTTTTTATTTACTTACAGAGATTGCAGTGGCACTCTTCTTTTCACAAGGTACAGTACCTTTTCATGGGTTTTTCATCATCAAATTAAATTGATTCATGATTGTGGGCATGTCTTAGAGGAGAGATATGCAGATATATGAAGGCTTTTATTTCAGCTTGCAAAGGTGTCTTTAAGGAGCTTAGACACCTTTGGTGAGGTATGCAATTCCAAAAACAAGAGGAGATAATTCTGGTTTAACCATCTCTAAAGCCAGATAGTTGATGACTCATTGCCAATTTTGTAACCAATGTTAAGTATCCTCAAATTTAGGTACGATTTTCTAACAAAATGTTTGGGGTAGTGAAGCAGGGTCATCAATCATAGCCAGTGGCCGGCAAAACACACCACCAACATTGTGTTTTTGGCCCTAGGCTGTTGCTCTGATTCTTTGGTAAACGATGGCAAAATCAGCCACCAACTTCAAAAATTATAAAGCTGCCCACTTTCATAAAAAAAACTTTCTTACAAACCCAAATTCAGCTAGCCCCCCAAACAAAACCACCCAAATTACTAGTCAACAGTACTATAAATTTTTGTTTGTTGTAGATCACAAAGTGCAGCCAAGAGAGTTGCAGACATGTTCAGAGATAGAATAGTCAGAAAACTATACTGGGCCACTACAGTTGGAGTACCATCATTTGAAGAAGGAGAAATCAACATTCCTGTTGGGGAAGCTAAACTTTTTAGTGGACATCGTATTGTTACAAGGCGGGATCTGGTTGGAAAATCTGCTGAAGTAAGTGAAACATTAACCCATTCACCTCTGGAAATTTTGCTGAATGATGGCATTTGAACCTAAATATCTTGACTGGTTACTATCTGGCCAAAACAAAGCAAAACTGCTCAAGTTGAGCACTTGGCTGTCTTTTGTTTGTGATGCCAAATTACAGATTCCATAAATTGGGTGGTGCAAAAGGCAAAATTCCATTTTTTTCCCCATCACTTTTTGCGTTTAAAAGTGACATTACCCCTTGAAGTTTACCTTTTGCTTTCTTTTTTCCCCTTGTCTTTTGCTATTCTTACCCAGTATTTTTCTTTTGCTGGACAATACTTACTTGGCTTTATTTTGGTGGGTTTAGTTTCTGTAAAAAGCCATAGGATTGTGAAATTATTTAGTAGAAAGTATACAGGGGTAGATGAACAAGATTTATAATGAAATATATTATTATTACCCGTCAACTTTACTTGGGTTTTCCATTTTTCTCTACCCTGTTTGACTAGGATGAGCTCATTTGGGTACTATTAGAAAAATCTCTTCCCTCTGCCCAAGGTGAAATGATGAATGTCCTCTCCCAGCCCTCATGATCATTTGTTTTTTCCAGATATTGAAAGCTGCAGGCTTCAAAAATGCAGTAACAAGATTTCAAGTTTTAGACACAAATAAGACCACATGTGCCCTTTTGCAACTAGAACCACTAACTGGACTCAAACAGCAAATCAGAGTCCATGTGGCTGAAGGTCTCAAGTGTCCAATACTGGGTGATCATAAGTTCTCTTCAGATGCTCGTGAACCACAGGTAAACCAACTCAGGGTGTGACAGAAGTGCTAGGGACTAGTGGAGGAACCTGTCAGGCTATTATGTTTTATTATGAGTTGCCCACAGCCAAACAGCATATGCTGAAGTAAATGTTAGGGAAGAAACGGATTAGGGTGGGGAGGCCTGTACAACTGCTCCAGGCTAGTAAATTTCAGCATTAGTTTGTCTGAAGGGCCAGCAACTTTTTTATCTTCATCTCACCCTTCAACTTTATGGGCCATTATGTGAGTATCCAGAGATTTTATAAAGTCATCATTTGATAACTGGGTATGCCTCAGTCTTATAGATACGGAATGTTTTGTTTTTAGTCAACAAAGTTACTTCTAAAAGTAATGACACTATTGTTCTTATATACTTCCCACTGACTTCAACAAAATGTCAACTAACTGGAAAAGTCATACTTTCTGTCTTCCAAAAAATAATTAAATCAGAATTCAAGTTTAGCTAATTTCTTATTCTCCTTCCCTAGGTGTTACCCTTGCGGTTACTTCAGCTTCTGCGATTTCAAGGTGTAAAAAGCAAAATAGATCCCAACGCAAAGGGAAAAATCAGACCATGGCAAAGGGCACTGATACCTCTTCATTTACATTCAAGACAACTGATTCTACCACAGTTTGATAAAGGAAAAGACATTATTATTTCTGCACCACCTCCAGAATATTTTCAAGAAACACTTGAAAAATTAAGTCTTCACCCCAAGAAGAAAAATATGATTCTTTCTAGACATGAAGCTGAATATTTAAGACTTAGGAGACTGGGAAAGTCAACCAAAAGACTTGTTGGATTTTAACTTAATGTAACTGTTACCAAGCCTGGGTTGTTCAAATATTGGATAGCGCTATCCACTAGATAAATCACTATTCAGTAGATAAGTATTACAACCAATTACTGTAGGGAAACCAATAATATTGTGGATTTACCCAGTGTATAGCTTTATCTACCTTTTGAACAACTGCACTGCAGGAAGAAGAAGAGTGGTATTTTCAGTGACAATGTATTATCCAAGAAAAAAATAATTATTAACCTTGAAGGGTTGAAAGTTGCCTTTAAACTGAAAAAAAAACGACTCGAAGTAATCGGATGAAATTCAGGCTAATGTTCACAATCTATGTAATATATAATAAGCATTTTATTTTATAATTAAATTACTGTTAAGATGCGAACAAGATTGTGGATGAAAGGTATAAAAGTATTTTATGGGATTGACCTTGTGTGCAAGAGGCATTTCCATGAGGCCTTTTGACATAAAATTAAGAGTAACGTTGCCAAAGCACTGCAAAATCAAATTATTATTATTTGTATAATATTTATTATTTTCAAACAATATACCACACACAATTAAATTTAATTGGTATGTTAATATTGTTGTTTACACTGTAATTATTGGAAAATAGCCCCTAGATTTTCTTCAGTTTATCAATGTTTGAGGCCTTCTGCCAAGTTACTAAACTGGATGTCTATGTGGTCTTGGTTTTGACATGCTATTACTAAAAGCTATTTTATACAATACCTTTTTTTGATGTCACTTGATATAACATCAACAACTTACAAAAATTAAATAAAATACGAAACACTACCAAATTTAAACTAAATAAATACTATATACACTTTATTTTCCTTTAAGTGACACCAGAAGAAGCCAAGGTTTGGTTTTCTACTAGCAGGTTCAAGTTAACAGGGCTGAAAAAAAATTACTGCAGGGCAAGTAACCTTTTCATGTTAACTTGCCTAATATTGATAAGGGCCCTGGCTAGTTGTCTTCTAACATAAATCGTAATGAAACAAACAACTATGACAAGTAGCAAATTGAGAGCTGCTTGTCCTTGGAATTCAAGTTACAGAACTTTCAGGGTAAAAATTGATTTTGTTACTTTGTAGTCAGATGTGCATGGAGGTCTGCTTTTACATTTATGCAAATAATTTATTGCCCATCAAATCACTTCTTCTATTTCATTGAAAATGGGCCAATAGGCTTTTATAACATATCATAACAATATTATAATATCAAAATGTTATGTTATGCAAATAATAATTATTACTGCTCAGCAAATCATTTCTCCTGTTTTCATGAATAAGGGCTAATAGGCTTTTATTTTAAAAGCAGTGGCAACAACTAGGGACAAAACTTATTTAAAAATAAATGGAGGAGCAAACCAAAAATTTATTTTGGCATATACCAGTCATGTACATAGAAGAACTCGCTGGAACTAGCTTAGCAAAGAGGAAATTGTGGTAATAAAAAAAGGAGTCTTTCCTTGTGGTATCCCTATGATCCTATGTAAGCAAGTGTGAGGCAGGGAGGAGGGACCTATTTAAACAGTAGTTTCTCAACTATCAAGTCTCCCAATCTGAAAGACACCTCTAAAAATATTTCACTGAATGAAACATTCAGTAGCACAGTTAAGCTTGTTAAATGCTTTTTTTAAATTTTCTTGTCTCTTAGTTTATTCCATATAGTCAAAATCCTCTGGAATTCCAAAGTTTTTGTCAATCATTTTTTCTTCCAGACTGAACTTCCTAACGCACCATGTCTTGATTGTAAAGACATTGTCAGTCCAGCGGTTAGCACCTTCTTTTGCCATTATTGTTTCTTGCTGCATATTTTTCAGTACTTCTGGATCACATTCTTTGTATCTCTCAAGCTCTTGTTCCAGTTCTTTACACAGTTTTTCTTTTTGAGCCAACTCTTTGAGAACTGTATCTCTATCAGACTATATTTATAATAATTATCAAATCATAAAAAGTTAGATAAAGGAATCTTGTGGACTGCCCCCCAGTCTTCTATTTCCCTGTGTATCCTGCAGTATTTAAAAAAAGGGCAGGGTCTTCATGCAGGGGCAATTTTGATTTAACAAAGTGACTCACTGGGACTTCTACTGGTATTGAAGAACATGCTATATTACACTGATATACAACTTCAGATGTAATGGAGGGTACTTACTCAAGAATGGGACATTGGTTATCAAAGTGGATGCTAATTACTTTTTTCTTCAATAAACTGAAGCTCTATATCTTATACTTACATAGAGCATGGTAAAAGAGCAAAAATAGAAATAACAGATAAGCATTCATAAATAATTATTTTGAGATGGGTGCTTATTATTAGGTTGTCAGAACAACATCGCAAGAACAACGGTAAAATGTGTGGAGAACCAAGGATGACAGGTAGCATAGGAGTAGAAGTGTTCTTATTTTTTACATACATATGCTAGTGCTTGAATATAATGACAATACAAAAAGTTGGTCCTTTGTACTTACTGACTGCTCTCTGCCACTTTTAGCTTGCTTCAAAAGCTTTGTTGTAGAGGCAATTTTCTTTTCACATTCACTGATTTGATCTGTGAGCTGTTGAAGCTTTTGCTGACGCTGCAAGGTGTAAGTACAATGAAATAAACATTGGTTGCTCATTACCGTTGATGCTTAAAGGACTGATATAAATGACGGTCAAGACTTACTGTATGCATGGCCTTGCTTGGGTAAGCCCAAAAATAAATGGAAGTACCAATTTTATCAGTGTCTACTAGATTATCATCAACCAAGCTTTGTAAAACTTCCTTAACAGACATGGATGCTACAAAAGACAAAAGTTATTATTAATGATACCTGAAACAAATTTTGCAAAAATTATGTAATTTCTGAATTTCTTTTAGCCTACTTACTTATTCCTTTTTCCTTTGGTGCAATTTTCTCTAGCTCCTTGAGCAGAAAAAATTCTTTCTGTTAAAATGAAAAGTATAAAAAGCAATGTAAAGTTAATACTTTTTAATAAGCATATAAAAATTTTGAAAAGAACAGATGATTGACTTTAAAGAACTTGATCTGCAAGGAGAGTGAGAAAAGGGTGAAATGCAATGGACTTTAAAAAAAATTAGAAAAATTAATTAAAAGTTTGTTTATAGTGGAAATTGCACTTTGCTTATCCAGCTAGTTTACAGGCACTCCACTCAAATACTTAGAAACAAATAATATAAATACAACATAACAGGATTAAAAACCCCAACTGGCAGGAGGCAACCTGTTGGCTATTTACAAGCGAGGCCAAGGATTTGAACTCGCGACAACCAAGAACAAATCCAGCAAGTGGCCAGAGTGGGACTCGAACCTGGGACTACCAAATTGCAAGTTCCACGCGCTGACCACTTGGCCTTACTGCCACCTTTTTTCAATTTGTTTGTAGATTTTAATTAAATGGAAAAGAAACTGTTTTTAGGTGAACATTTTGATAATTCTCATAACCTTATCTCTCTTGATAATGCATTGATGTTGTTAGGAGAAAATTGATGTTGGTCACTCTTGGGACTTAAAAGGTTATTAAAGAAAGAGAGCAGGAATGAGGAGGGGCACTTATTTGCTACTTTGTCTGAGGGGGGTGGGGGTAAAGCAAATACAAGGAAGGGAGTTATCCTTAGCTATTGGGGTTTTATTTCCTGCCCTTTATTTCTTGTGAAAAACCCTGGGATTGAGGTTATGGAATACAAGCATTCTCCAGACGAGTCAGGTGATGACTTAGGTGGTGGAATTCTTCAGGAGAGGGGTCAATGCTGATTTTAAGGGGCATTCTTTAGGAGTGGAGACACATTTTATGGCATTCTGGAGGAGTATGTGTCTTTTCACGAAATTCTTTTGCGATACAACCATTTCGTATGAAGTTGTTAGGGGGGACTCCGAGTTTAAAGAATACTGCAGGGGTAAGGAGGAAAGTCAGGTCCTCATCCGGGGGGACATTTGTTATTTCTTGGACCTGTTTTAGTTTGGCTTATTTGCAAACAACAGTACCTTACCTTTTCATAGAAAAGTTCTAAGAGTCGTGTTCTTTTCTCTTCCAAACTCAGGCCTCGTTTCTTCGACTACAAAATAACATGGGGCAGCATTTTACATGTAAGCCTGTATGCGCGCTTTGAAGTCTTTTACCTTCAAGCGTTTAACTTTTCTCAAACTTTCGAGTTTGTGCTTATTACCCCAAAAATACATAGGTATGTTAACTCACCATAACTGCAAAAGGGTCAGGAAAGCCTTGACGATAATTATTTTTCTGGTATATGAGCGACTGCCGAGGTTTGAGAGAGGTTTACGTGAAATTTTGTGGACAATATGGCGGCCGACTCTGAGTCCTGAGTCCTGGACGAAATGTTTTGATTTTGGCGCCAAAACGAGTCCGATGACTGTAATTTCATTTCCGGTAGAGCAGCAAGGGATCATGGGAATCACTGGAGCTTCACGAGACGGATGTAAACATGGCGGCTGGCTCGCGGGTAGAAAGTTTATATGATTTAGCAGCTCTTAGCGCAGTTAAAAACTGCCATGTTTACAAATCAGAGTTCCGATCGCTTCCTAATGCTGTTCAATGTGATATCTATAGGACGGTGGGTAGTAACATCTTTTCTATTCAGTAACGTTTTTAAGATTTGGGTATGTGAAAACGCAATCTCTTTCTTCGAAGCACAAAAACACCTTCGGCTTGTTTTTATCCAGCTGTACGACACAGGGAAGACAGAAGTGTTAGTAGCTGAACTAAGTGAACTAGATGTTGTCTTAAAAGCTTTAAGAGCCGGAGACACAAGGTTGGTAATGTTAGATTTGGGGGTGAACTTTGTCGGTGACAACATAAATAAAATTTCATTCCGTTTGTGTCACGTAAGATCTAGCCAAAAAACAAGAAACGTTTCACATTTCAAGAAAATGTTTGTCCATATGTCCATTTATAACGCCAATTGCTTCCAGGAATATTGATTATCGCTGTCTTATTGTGTTTAACATTTTATATTAACTGTGACTTACTGAATTCAGCATGAACTAATAAATCCAATATTATGAAATCAGACAGCTAAAAGAGAAACAATCTAATGTAAATATTACCCTATAGCAGTGGTTTTAGTAAATTCTCTGATTTTTGAAACTGATTTTAATTATCACACTTAGTTTTAACTTTAAAACTAGTCAAAGACAAATTTTTAATGAGGACTTGAATCTTCAAGGGAACAATTGTTTTTCTGTTATATATTATTTTGTACCTAAGTAGATGGGGAGTACAATTGTTTATTTTTACCTGCCTTTTAGTGGCCAAGTTTGAGGTCTTAACTCTTAATTATGGACCAATTTTTTTAACTGTGATTTATAGCCCAATAACAAAGTGAGTGGATATCAGACAATTCGAAAAATGTGAGGATTCATAATTTACAATAAACACCAAGAAAACGAAAGCTGTTTTTCAAGCTTATTTGACAAAGTGGAATTCTTACAGATATTATCACAATGAATCAATCAATTAATAAATCTAAGGTGACTTTCTTTGCACTCTGACTTTTTAAAGGCCTTTTAGATTGCAATTAACCCATCAGATATTACAAAAAAATTCAGTGCTAATATATAACAGGTTGATTGATACGTGGGTTTTAAAAATTTTCCTTTCCTGTGTTTTCAAGAGTCAAGCTTTATGCTGTTTTCCAAGGACTGCAAGAGGAAGGATTTGATCTCTCATCAATCCTTGCTTCTGAGTTTCTCAGGACGTGTTCTGAAGGAAAAGAAAAGCTAGAGAAACATGCCATTCAGAAGATCTTAAAATCTGGAATGTCCTTGGGTAAGTTTCTAAATTATTCAGCTAATGAACTCTAAAGTTAACAGGGACAAATAGTTTATCGGTAAGCATAGTTATCAACAAACCTCTTTTAGTGACCACCTCTCCTTAATCCTTGTTTCTGCCTATCGAAAAGTCCACATATCACTCTTGTTTCAACCTCTGTCTGACAACTTCCTCTCCTCTAAACATTATTATTTTTATTTACTGTAACAGTCACTCAGTTACATCTAAACTGCTAAGAAAAACTTCTTCAACATGGCCATTGATTTAAAAGTGAATGGTGCACAAACTGATTTTCATTTTTTTTATCTTTTATTTTAACAAACATGAACTAGGCAACAATTCTTGCAACATTTCCCTACTGCAATCTGTCCCCTGATTTTAAACTGCAATAAACCAATGTTTATCTTTTATGATTTATACTTCAGGGGGTTTTCTGCTAGAGGCTGGATGGTATCAAGATGCCAAAAAGATACTAGATACCTCTTACAAACTTTGTAACACAAGAGAGCCAGAGGACTGTAAAATAGCAGCTAAACTTCTAACAAGGTACAAAAAATTACACCTTTTTCAATATGTATGGTAACTGTATACACTTAACTCTCTCTAAGGGACCGGCACTAAGTGTCCAACATAAAATAAAAAAGAGAGTTATCTGTCTTATAGAGAGTTAAATAAAAGGAGTGGGTGTCTGTTTTACAGAGGTGTTCATTTTACAGAGGTGTCTGTTTAGGGAGAGTAGACTGTATATATGTTGGATGTTAACCCTTACCCAGCGAGCAGAGGCCCTTGATGGGTAGTTAACACTTTACCCTTGGTTACTCAGGAAAATCAAAATGTAAGCCAAGGGTAAATTTGAACCTCAGAATAAAACACTCATAAGAGCAACATTAGACAGGGCTGTCATTAAGGGCCACCGCTGGGTATTACCCCAGCTACTGTGAACATGACCCTTGGTTGCTTTCATAGGAGCATAAAAGCAGAATGGAACCAAAGAAATTTGTAGATATTTTGTTCTCCGCCTTCATCTTTACAACACCCCTGTTAGATTATATTCCTCAATATCATTGTAGATTTCTTTCATTCTGTTTGTCCTATGTTTTGTATCAGGTTGCTTCACCTCAGAACTGCAAATTGCGAATTTGATGCAGCTAAGGACACATTCAGAGAAGCTATGGAGATTACAAGCAAGTTAGGAAGCAGAGATGCAGAAATTAACATGGCTGTCCTCTATGGTGAAAAGTGTGGTCTCTTGTTTGCCTTAAGTGATTATGAAGAGGTAAATCGAATTCAATAATGTTTATAATAATCATGATGATGATGATAATAACTTATTATTATTGTTATCATTGATGGTTGATGCAGGTGGTTTTTTAAATTCATTTACTCCTAGAAATGTTTCCAAAAAATGCCTATTGAAGGTACTCAAGCAAGTTACTGGTTACTGTCTGACCAAAAAGAACCACAGCTGCCCAAAATACTGTTCATAAATTGATCATATCATAATCTTTTGCTCCTGATTCTAAATATCAGCTTCCAAGTTCAGACATGTGTAAAAAGCCTAATTTGAAACTGATGATGCTACAAGTGGCACAAGGGACATGGGTCGATATAGGCAGTTACGGGTGTTAAGGGGGTGAATGGGTTAAAAATTAAATCCTGAGAATGAGTTTCAGAAAAGTCAAATCAAACTTTGGTGTATGCACCTCTGTAAAGTGTCCATCTCTCAGAAACAGCTGCCTCTCTGAATGTTCTCAAAGCACTTTTCTTAGTCAAATAGTTGTAGTTGTAACCTAAACAACCAGCTCTCATATTAAAGGGACCAACAGATCTTGTTCAAGTTCAAGTTCGAGTTCATTTATTCACACAATACAACAATAAGGAAAAAAAAGGAAGAAGTAGAAAAACAGAGCTAACTATACATTGAATTAAACATAAAAAAGGAAGAGTGTGTAGCAGCCAAAGGAGCCAAGCTTTCGAGTTGGCTACTACCACAGAGCAGTTACAAGTGGGTGGAGGTCATATGGTACTAATAAAAAAAACTATTTAAATTAAATAATTAAATAAATAGAACTAAGTAACAGATTAGAGTTGTTCAAGATGCCTGTCTGTCAAGTAGAAAGAGTTTATATTATTCTTTTTAAAACAAGAGCGCCAATTTTTAATTTAAAGATATTCTCTAACTTTAAGATTTCTAATAGTGTAAAGTACGGAGTGGGACTTTCTCTTTTATTTGCAAAGAAGATGCAGCGAATACAGTTATTTTGACTTACTTTGATTTTATTTAACTTAGTTTGGTATGCGGTACCCCAGCTCATTAATCCAAGATGATACTCATCTTGAACTTGAGTGGTCGGTCACTCATGGAAGTTGTGACTGCAAGTAATATGGTATCACATTAGATCGAGCTATAGCTATCAGTGGGGAAAAATTGAAGAACAGCTTCCCAAAAAATCTGTCGGCCGACAAACAGCCAACTGTCGGCTGACAAACAACCAACAGTCAGTTGACAGTTTTCCCAATTTAAACTGAAAAGTGTTGGTGGACAGTTTGTTGACAGTCGGTTAATAAATATTGTCGGTCAACTGTTGGTCACTTGTTGGTTATCTGTCAGCAATATGTTAGTGAACTTTTTTTTATAATATAGAGCTATTGGTTCAAGTTGTTTCAGCATTTGCAAACAAATCTATCAAGAAAACATTTCAAAAGTGCTGGATTACTTTACGTCCGAAAATAAATCTTTTGTTTACTTTATATCAGAACAGATAGTTATTTTGCCATCGGGTCAGCCATGTTTTTCAGAGCTTACTGATGTCCTCACCAAAAGGGAGCATTGTCCTCCCCCACGCTTCTCCCTCACTTTATTTTAAGGCTACAAGGAAGCCTACAGTGTCGAGAAAATTTATTTCCAGGCTGGCTTCCCTCTTCATATATATATCTTAGGGTCTGGATGAGTGCATCCCAGACTTATTTGGAGATCTGAACGTGCCACTGCTCATTGACGTAATTATAACCATTTTTGTAGGCTTACATATGCAGCATGAAGGCTTTACAGAGAATTGGCCCTGGATTACCCATGAAGGTAAGTTGAGAACAAATAATTTTTACACCTGTTCAAAGTTCTGATAATAATAATTTTGTGTTAATGCCAAAATCATTTTACAAGTTTACTTAACTGAAATTTTTTTAGTCATAATTCTACACACTGTTCTAAATGCTGTGCAAATGATTGTTTTAAATTATGGTCCTATTGCAGAAGTGTTTTTAATAAAGGCCAACACTCTCAGTTCTTATGTTGGATAAAGCATGATTTTACAAGAACGTAGTACTTATCATTTTTCAGTCTTTACAAGTTCTGTTTAAGCATTAAACCAAAACTTAACTAAGAATGCAGTTTTGTTAAGTTATTATTAATTTTAATACTGTAGTAAAGTCAACAATGTAATTCTCTTGTGGGAATGTGATCATATATATATATATATATTCTCTCAACTTTACTGATTTTCTATAGAACTGAGGTGATATTACACTGTAATATTTGCCAAAGGAGAAATTTTATGTTGGTTGGTGTCAGAAAATAAAGCAATAACCTAAAGTCTATTTTTATTAGTGCTTTAATTGAATTTAAGATATAGGTATTGCCTTTTGGGTAAATGTTCCTGCTCGGTTAATGCCCTGGGTGTTTATCAACATGTTGCATGGTATTTATTTACTATGTTGTCTTGAATTGCAAAAACAAAACCTATTCTTTATGTTGCAGGCTGTAGTTGATATTCTTAGGAATGCATCCAAGGTAAAGTGTCATTTTTTCCTTTTCTATAGAAAAATAATAATATTACGTCCTATTTCAGAACATGCAGTAACTAAGGTCATAACCATGCAGCCTTAACATATGCCAGATTGCAGATTAAAGGGACTCAGTCAGCTGATGCACACACACATTAGATACCATTTCTTGGCTGATTTGCATATCACAAGATGCACGTGAAACAGAAAGTGAGAAGTGCATCTTTGGAATATGTAAACACACCTTGTTGAGTCAAACTAATTACAAGTCAAAATCGTGATTATAGACCCTAAGACATATCAGAGCACTCTTTTTTAATAAACCATTGAGAATTCACTGATGGACGTGTCCAAGGAGAACCAAATTTCCAAATTTGAAGAATCAGTAGACGTGAGCAATGACATGAATTCTGAATCATTGCCAAAGGTTTAAGGTTGAGAAAACTCGACTTTTCAAATATATGTAACCTTTCTCCATTAATTTTCCAATTATACGATGTATATAACAATGATTTGCTTTGCAATGTTATTGATTCATTTCTCTTTTTTTTTGGTAAACAATTTTTCCTGCCTGGCGCCTTCACATTTCCCACTACTTTTTTTTATGTTCCTTTGGATGCTGTGTTTAACCAAATATGATAAAACCTTATGGGATGAGTAAAAGTTTGCCCGACAAAGAGGTTTTCAGTATAAGATTGAGCATGAAATTGAGCATCGAATGAAACGCCAGGCAAGCTTAAAGTGGATTTCTAGATGTATCTAATGCATACATTTGATTTCGGGTTGAGGTAAATGCTTGTCAAACTGGCAAAAGTAGTGTCCTGGTCAGCATATTCCCATAGCTGACTGTGTCCTTTTAAGGTCGAATAGAAACCAGAGCACAAAAATAACAAAATATCTTGGCCCTAATATTGTACTTGCAGATTACAAAGGAAAGGTTTTACTCAATAGTGATGTGAAAAAAAAGAGTTTTTATTTTTTCAGGCATGTGTGGTTAAAAGAAAGTTCAAGAAGGCAGAACTTCTTATAAAACAGGCCATGTTTTTAGCCAAGTAAGAAAAACACCTTGATTCACGTTTTTTTAAGCTTGCCCATGTTATTAATATTAATGCCTTATAAAACAAAGTGGTCATGGAAGTAAGGATATGTGACTCAAGACTCCACTACTTCCATATAGAATGTATCCATGAGGATTTAAAATTAATATTATTCTCATATCAGGGTTAAACTTTTAAGGAAGTAGAATTGTTGCAGCAACACTGGCTTGAAGCTTATAGTAATGAGTTTTTGAATTGTATCTGTACTAGTTGCTGCCTTGTTATTGTTATTTGGTAAGGAATATTGTTCCTTTTTTGATTTTTCAGACAACACTTTGGATGTAATCATCCAAAGTATGCTGACACTTTGATTGATTATGGATATTACCTTCTCAATGTAGATGCTATTAACCTCTCTGTTAAAGTCTATAGAGTGAGTATTAGTAAGCATTTAAGCTGCATGCAGGTGGTTAAAACCTTGGTCTTGCCTGGCTTCTGTAAGACTCTTATGCAGCCTTTCTTCATTGTCAAGCAATGCCCCAGAGTATTGGTTAACAATATAAAAGAAGGGCTACATAGGAGACTCACGCTATCAATAAATTTTAAAGAGTAGAGTGCGGAAAAAAATCACTAATATTTTATAATAACCATATCGTCCAATTGAGTTCACAAATATTTAATCATGTGTAACTCACTTTATACCTGGTAAAACACAGCAAACCAAAAAGTCAGGGAAGCACAATATCAATATCAAGACATAACCAAATCAAAAGGTGATAAGAATCAATAAAATGACCACCAACAGGAAAATGCTTTGACCTTTGAACAAATTCTCTTAAACCACTATTAAAGAAAGCAGACTTCAAGAAGTTTCAGTGGAATGTTCTGAACGTTGTGGACATCATTTTATATGAACAATAAGAATGTAATGAGTCAAAAATTGTGATTTAATCATTTTTGACATCACTTCTATTATCTCACTCTTACAGATATTATAGAGACTCATGTTTATGGCAAACAAAAAACATCAGTTTGTACCACATGACCAAGTTTTCCTATTACTTGTTGATTACTGTTCATTCCTTGCCCAGAAAATGAGTAGTTTCACACCAGTTTGATCCAAAATAATTTTGCACAGAACAGACCCTTTCACTTTCTGCAAAGAGGCCATATGAAGGGGGTATGATGGTGAGTACAAACTTGCACTACCCCTTCCCCCCTCCCCTCACCACCACCGCTGCCACCATGCAAATGTCTGTAAATTTCACGTCTTTGCGGAGCTATTTTTTCATTAGTTTTCAACAAATCACTTCCAAAGTTGACAACTTTACTACTGATTTTAAGGTATTTTTTTCCAGCTGTGTTGAAGGATTTTCCCTGACTGAGCCCAGTCAAAAGTTGAAAAAACCATGCCATTCATGGAGGGGTCTATTTGTAAATTTTCATTTCCTATTATGAGGACAAAATTGTCAAATTGAATCTGATGTTTGCGTTTGCTGTAAACGTGATTCAAAACCTCTCCATTGGCTTTCGATCCATGAGCAGAAAACAAAAGTAAAAATAGAAATTGACTTTACATTAGTTGGGATTTTCAAAAGGCAAGCAAGAACAAAGCTCATTTAAACAGACTGATATATTTTTCTGTTGTTTCAGGAAGCTTTTCGTACGAGGTTGTACGTTTTTGGTTACAACAACTTACATGTAGCCACAGCTCACGAAGATCTTGGTTATGCACTGTACGTTCATGAATACAGCACAGGAGACTTTGATGAAGCAAGGTAATGTGACCAACACAGGCCTGGTAACTAATCCAGGCATTTGAAAGTGTTAAGTCAGTAATGTTTCACTTGAGTTGTTTCATTTGAAAGCAAATATTAATACGTTTAACCCCCAATATCCACAATACAAACTATCCAGACTGCTCTCCATATGTTTCCTTGTGGAATTAGTTGAGAGAATTCAATAAACGATCAAAGAATTTTCCCTTAAGTGATCATGTCACTAATTCTCATACACCTTTCTCTTGATTACATATTTATTCCCCAAGCTTGTCTCTGTATGTCCCAAGACTTCTGCAAGAAAGTAAATTGTACTCTTACCACAGTCGCACTTCTCACTGCCTAAAACTATTATGCAAACACTTATCTAGAGAGAGGAGAAGTATGATGTCACGTTACCATGGTCGCAAAATTTTGAGATCCAGAAATTTTGCCACTATGGTAACGTGACGTAACAACTTCTCTCTATTACAGACAGTTCTCTTGGTCCCAAAGATACAAAATAAATACACATTTTTCCTCTGCAACAGAGACTCTAGGCACTGTACTTTTGATGTTCGATTTTAATAAGATTTATCTGAGTTTGCGCTACTCAGATTTCTGTCCAAAAAGTTAACAATTTTGAAACCCCCAAAAGTAGCCTTACCTAAGGCTGCTTATTTTCCTTGCAATTGAAAATTGATACTCACGAATTTGTTGTTTCTTTTATATCTGCACAGATATCATGCCGAGAGAGCTATCAGTATAATAACGAAGCTCTTTCCAGAGGATCATCTTCTGCTCGCATCTTCCAAAAGAGTCAAAGGTAAATAAGGGTGTTGTAGTATGTTACTTTGGTTGTTTGTTGTTGTTTTTTTTTCCAGCGAGTGAAATTCCGTTTTTGTTACTTTCTTTTTATCCAGTGAGATGACATGCAATGAAATGATTTTCTTGTTGTGCGGGGTGGGGGGCAAAGAGTGGAGGGAGCGACTTTCCCGCTCTCCTCTGTAAAGAATGTCAGTATTCGCGTATTGTTGTTGAGGTATTGATTAGCAGTAGCCTACGTAGCAAGCGTTTCCGTGCAAGTTCGTCCAACATTCGCCCAATTACGTAGGCTAGGTTAGCAGACACTTAGAGATGATGAAGTCGTTATAATTTTTTTTTTTCAGCTCTGATTCTAGAAGAAATAGCAATAGATACCCCGATCAGACAAAAAGAAGAGGAAATTCTTAAAGAGGCACAGGAGCTTCATTTGGCCTCTCTTGATCTTGCTAGGTAAGATAGTTACTTATGCTCGCTCAGCTTGCTTTCTGCGGTGAAACCCCACCCTACGGGTGTCGTTTTCTATGGTCAATTTGATCTGTCCTTTTCAGTTCTAAAATGGTTCCAAGGCTGGCTCGTCCCCCAGTCGTCTCTATTTGGATCGGACGCGGAGAACGAAACTCGAGAACCTTGAACGATAGGAGCGCGAGGGGTGATGGGAAGGACCGCGCTTCTCTTGTTAATAGACGGCAAACCTTGTGTGACAAGCGTGAAAATAATTTTGTTTGAAAAAATTTCGGCCAAACTTCACCCCTCTTTAAACAGATCTTTTTGTAAAACACCAGAAAACATTAATGTTAACTGAAGACTTCAACAAAAAACGCAAGTTTTGCCCTGTCACGTTTTCCCCACCCAATCGTTTGCCCGTCGTCCTCTTCTTTCTGCCGTCCTCTTGCGTTAACTTACTAATATTACTAGGAGACTGAGAGACGACTAGGAACGAGTCAGGTTCCAAGGAGGGGAATAGGGAAATAACTCAGTTCCAACAGTTCTAAGGGGTGCCCCATCGAGGGAGGGAGGGGGTTGAGACAAAGAGACGGCACATTTACGTCAACTTCACTTTTGTTTATGATTGTAGTTGTAAAAGTAGCTTTTTTCTATTTGTAGGAAATCGTTTGGTGAAAATAACGTGCAGACAGCAAAACACTATGGAAATTTAGGTCGGCTCTATCAATCCATGCGAAGATACGAGGTGTGTCATATATTTAATACATTTGCCGCCTGGTATTTAAACAATAACATCCAGTTTAGCAAACACTTGGGCCCCATAATGTACAAAAACATTATTTTCAAAAGTCCATTAGTGACTTGTTGTCATTTTTTGTTACACAAATGGGCTACATGCATACAGTGTGGCTGTCTGTGGTATTTAAGGCCAGCCTAATCCTTGTCCGTGTATAAACGACTGTTTGTTTTGTTGTCGTTATATAGGAAGCAGAGGCCATGCACAAGAAAGCGATTGAAATCAAAGAAAGGATACTTGGTAGCGAGGTATGTCCAACTGGTAGCTGATGTGACCGCTATGTTCCCATTCATTATCGTCCAGACCAACGAAGGTTGATCGATTCAACCAAAATATTTCGGTGAAATTTGCCACTTCTGGTCAAATCCTTGTTAAATTTTTGATTCTTCTAAGGTTAAGGTATACCATGTTGAAGAGCAATGGCCCAATAAAGTTTCTTTATTTGACGGGACGATCCCGTTTAGGCTAAATAAATGAGTGTCTCCCGGGCCTATAGGAAACGAGGTACATGGCATATTTGTTCAGGGGGACGGGGAGCGGTACAATTTGTCATGCTACGTGTTATACGCTTTGGTGCGGAATTGAAGGTATTTGCCAGTTATTTCCCACAATATCCAATCTGCTGTGGTGAAGTCAATGTTTTTGTTGTTATTTTTTTAACCTTGTTATAGGATTATGAAGTAGCATTGTCATTGGGTCATTTGGCGTCATTGTACAATTACGACATGGAACTATATGATAAGGCTGAACAGCTGTACCTCAGGTCCATTGCAATAGGTAAGTCTTAAAAAACGAACGCAGTAAATAAAGTCTGTTCTCCAGTCGTTTTCCTCTTTTTTTCTGTGGAATTTACCGAGCTCCAGTGGACGAGCTGATTTAACCACCCACCTCCCCTCACGCCGGTGGTCAATAAATCCCCTGCGATTTTTATTTTTGTACGTGCCCTCGAATAACTCTAAGGAGAAAAAAAAATGTTTATGAACAGACTAACATAAGAAGTAGATTAGCTCTTTTACGTAGAAATTTATCCATTTTTCGACGAATTCACGAAGCGCGTATGGACGAGCTGATTGTCCACCCACCTCCCCTCAAGCTAGTGGTCAATAAATCCTCTGCGGTGTTAGTTTTTGTACGCGAGCTCGACGATCTCTAAAGAGAAAAAAGAAACGTCTGTGAACAGACTATAGTAAATTTCCTTATAACTCTCGCCCCCCTCTCGCTTTTCCATTCTAACCAGTTGATGTGTGTCTAACCCTAATAGCTACATGAAAGCCTATACCTACTTTTTCTCGTGTAATTACTTCTTTGGTTTATTTTTTAAAAATCCTATCAACAAGAGTTTCTGAGATGTATTTTTTGTGTGTTTTTTGTGTTCAAACTGAGTCGTCTTTCATATGTAGGCTTTTTAGAAGTCCTTTAGGTTTTTTTCATACAACCTCTTATACTTTACAATGCGCTTTTGACCTTTAAGTAGAGCCCAGAGAAGTCCTGTGTTTTAAAACTTAACATTGAAGCTTGTATAATTTGCCCTTATGTAGTTTTCTCTGTTTTCACTGATTTCCCTGGAGATAGATATCTTTGAAAAACTGATCACATAATTAATCTTTGATTTACTCTTAAAATAGGAAAGACACTTTTTGGCGACGGCTACAGTGGACTCGAGTACGACTACAGAGGGCTTATAAATCTCTACGATTCTCAAGGTAAATGGTAAAATAAAATACGGTACGGGAATAGCCCCGTTTCGTAGTAAAATTCATCATTTTAACATTACCCGTAATGCACCTTGTAGTGAAGTATGCAAAATGTTTAGGTTGTTAACAAGGTGCATTATGGACAATGCGAAAATGGTGAATAGGGGTTACCCTCGACTTAAACGAAAATATTCACAAATAGCAGCAGCAGCAGCAGCAAAAAAAAAATAGCCATAGTCGTAAACAGCTCTTCTTCTAGCTGGAGTTTATAGTGACGTGGGTTAACCCTGTTAAAATTCATCTTCGGTGCTTTTATTCGGTGGTCATTGCGAACTCGAAACTGGACATTTTTTGCATATGTCTCAGACCCAGGCGTCCTTGTTTGCTCCCATTTGGCGCGCATGGGAAGAGCGCGCTACACTCAGTGTTTTGCGTCCTTCCCATCACACCCTGCGCTCTCTGTTTTACTGCTGGATAGTGGCACCTATGGACAAGGGAATGATATTCTTCCCTGCATGACACAGATGACGCTTTTTTTCTGCTCTTTGTGGTGATTGCTTAGGTCCCCAGTATTGATGCTGCTTTCAACGTTGTCTGTCCTTTGTAACCTCGATTTCATGTCTCCGTGCGCTTTACATCGCATACGCAAATTCACGCGCTTCCTATTGAATTTATCCAAATGGTTTATTTGAGTATTTTCGTACGCTATGATTCATCAATGCGACTCCACATGTACATTTTGCTTGTAGCAGCTCTGCAAACACCAATCCTTTTTTCTGTTTCTCTATTGAATTAAGGCAATTTTGACCGCATGGAAAGCTATCATCAAACGCTCATGGATTGGAAGGATTTGCGAGAAAACGCTTGCTCGACGGAGTCTGCACACGACAAAACACCAGAGCCATGGCCAACAGGACAGTTTATACAACATTTCCTCAGTCAGCCAGATTAACGACAAAACTGCAAGAGCTTTCCTTTAGAACGAGGAACTCTTGTAACTACAGGAAATTTCAACAAGCCAATCCAGATTTTTGTATGTGAGCGACATTTTTTAAGTCTTCAAAATCTGGTGTTGGGAAGATAGGAAATACTCTTATTTATTAGGCATTTAAAAAGCCTTAAATTCTGCAAATTCGTAAGTAGTGGAAATTAACTTTTCAAGGAAACTCATTAAATAAGATAATTTGAAGTCAGGGATGTTTGGAATGAAACATTCTTGTGCCGATGTTATGCATGTGAAGAAAATTATACAAAAATGTTGAAAGGGAACCGGAACGAAACGTTCGCTCCTGCAATAGGCCATTCTTTCTTGTGAAAATGAGTTGTTTTTTTTGCATGAGAATAAAAAATCTTGTTCATATCAATTGTTTCGCATTTAGCCTCGCTTTGAAACAGAGGCTTTGGACAACCCAGAAATGGGCTACGCCAGAGATATAATTTATGCTAAAACTTGAAATGACCCCTTGTATATTTTTTTACTGGAGAAGGCAAAGTAGGGATATGTTTATCTTTTCCGCTGAATTTCTCTAAGAATCTTGCAGGCGTGCTTGCCAAAGAAAAAGCGCCATAACATGTGATGCGTTTTACAAAATACTGGAACTTTTTTTCAGGTGTTGCTCTTTTAAAGTATAATCGAACTTTCTGTGCAGGAACGAAAACAAAAAAAATGTGGGATCAAATAATTTTTCTAGTGGGTGAAAAATGACTGTATATAGATTTCTTCAGTGTATATATGTATGTGTGTATCTATGATTTTTTTCAGAAGTTTCGGTGATTAATTTAATGTAAATATTACGTTATCAGAGATATCAACGAAATTATAGTGTCAGCTAAAGTAAATACAAAATTGCGTTTTACGGCTTAATTTTCTTGTTTTCCCTTTTAGTGTCCTTTTTGTGCTCTAAAGAAAACTTTATCTGTAATATTGCCAGTAAAATAGACATTTTAATTGCCGGGAATAAAACCCTTATGTGATCGTAATAACGAGAAGTTCTATGTTATGAAGTATTAGAGAGGAGACTGAGTCCCTTTGAGAAGAGACGATAGTGGTGAACGCACATGTAGGTAATGAAGTATGGTGGTAATTAAACAAGTTTTCAATAAAAGGAGTGTGTGCTTAATCAATTATATAAGGGCCTCAACAAGCTGGAGTATTAGATCTTAGTATTTATCATTCATAGTTACTAAAATAAGTGGAACCCATTTATTTTAGTTAACCCTAAGGGTTCGATGGAGGTTTCCCATTCTCGTTCCCAGAACTGCGATCCTTTTGGTCAGCTCCGAGAATCTCGGGTTTTCCTCACAGTTGAGGAAAAAATTATCTGTGACGTTTTACTTTATCCGAGAGCTTGGGAACTAGGATTCTTGTTAGGGTCCATTATAAATGGCTTCCGTTCATACGTGAACAAAATTATAAAAGGACATAAATGGAAGAATGTAATATTCTGACTAGGAAACTACCCACCTACTCCTCCCCTAACCTCACACTTCGCACAAAGTGAGAAGTTAGCGTAAATGTTGGATTAGGGGAGGGGTAGGCACGCACGTTTATGTGTGACCTACAATCTAAACACTCACGTTCATGATGGTACAGGCTAAGGGCGCTTCCCATTATTCAGTGCTGGCAGGCCAGACCAGTTCCTTCGAAACAGAAATTCCGTTATTGATGTGAACTGCCAATCCAAATCAGTTTGTTCATAAATAGTGATGCGCTTTTCGCAAAACTCTCGAAAATACCCTTCCTCAAACTACAACTATCGGTCTGGCCGGCAAGTTCTGACTTTTGGTACTTGGACTGTAAATCAATCAAAACATATAGGTTTTTGTCTTGCAAACATGAGCCCCTTTTTATTCGACTCAAAAGTTGGAATCTCATTTTGTGTAATGAACTATAGGAAAATCTATAGGAATGAAAGAGTTGACATATAGCAATAATAACCCAGTTTATAGACAAACTCAGTCAAGTGGGTGTATTAACATTGACTGAGTGGTATTTCCTAGAAGGCCAACGTCATTTTCAGACTGAAATTATTCACTTTTGCTAAGCTACAATCGGCGTTAAAATTAGTTTTGCTGACTTAAAAAAGAGAAAGTAAAGCGTTCCCTCCCATATCCCCCCTGCAATTGAATGGAGGGGAGGGGGAGGGGTGTGGATTGTTTAGTTCTCTGAAGTTACCCCATTTGAGGACAGTCTCAACAATTTTGTCGCTGATTGTAGGCTAAAGAGCATTGCAGTGCTCCGTTTTCTGATTACGTGTAATTTTCATTGACTCTGCCGTAACAGAACGATTTATGGATGTCCAGATCTTTCTGTGTGTTGTACATCTTATCGCAACTTGAACAAACAAAAACGTTCACTGGGGTGTAACGCGTCGACGCAGGGCTCACTCGCCCACCCCTCCCCTCTTTCGCTGCAACGTCCCAGGTAGGGACGGGTGAATGTTGCCATTCGTGTTTCTGGAGGCCTCCTTCAGCAAGACTTCCCATGATGTTTACCACGTGTTTACCGCTGGCCGCAAGTTTTGCGCTCAGTGTAGCACTCTGTCGTTTATCTGCGAGTTTAGAGGTCGAGCTTTTCACTCGTGTCTTTGCGGACTGGGCTCTAGGTTTTTCAGGTGGGCGTGGTTGTAGCCGGCTTGACGAGTGATAGTCTGGGTACGTGCTCTGTCCTTCTCTTACCGCAGATGAGGGGCGTTTCTGTTGCATGTATGAGTCATCGTCGTAGAACGTTCTGAGAAAAGATATATTTTCGACTGAAATGTTATTGTTACACGACTGTACATATGTACTTAGGGGCCGTTGACGATTGTGGCATACTAAAATCAAAGAAACCACGCTAGCCTTCATGTGAAGGTATCTCTTTCATGAAAGACATAGAAGAGCAAAGAAATTGTGAAAACCATCAAAGGATGAGCCAAGCACAGACGTCCTCGAACAGCAACGGAGGCAATGGAAATATTGCGATGATTACATATTAGGATCAATTACAAAAGAAGATTTCAAAGTACTCAACCTTTGTATTGAGTCGTGTTGTCCAGCAATTAGATCGTCTTCACCGTGTGTGGACCTCCATAAGGGAACAGGGTCTTGTACCTAAGAAATTGAAAACATTAATCCACTTAAGCTTCTAAGATCTTTGTACAAAAGCGTCAACTTTAAAATAAAACTTTTCTTCTCCACGGAGTCAGCGGATCAGTATCAGGTCTGGAAAACCACGCACTAACCCCTCCCCTAACCCAACATTAACACTAATTTCTCACTTAGGGCTAATTAAGGGATGAGTAGGGGAGAAGTTTCCCAGAATCTTATACCCGGAATTTTCAAGTGTGCGCCCTGAATAAGCACTTGTCAGGCCATTCTGATGGCTTATAAGCCACCAGAACTACTACAGGAAAGAATGAAACTTCTGAGACTCTGAGAGACTTTCTGGGACTGAGAGTTCTGAACCTCCCACTCGAATTCTTTTTTTTAACGTCGGTAACTCAAAATATTCATTAACCTGAGGTCGACCATGCGCTGATTTCGCCCCTTCCCCTCTCTCCTCCGCAGAGGCCTCTTTGTATCGTAGGGAGAAGCCTCTGCGGAGGAGAGAGCCTCTTCCCCCGCTCTCTCTCTCTGTCCATCAGTAGTCCGTTTTACGGGTATTTTAAGCTACTTCAAGCTACATGGAAAGGAGAGAAGTCAATACAAGGATTCGAGGTAACCCCCGGAGATAGAAATGGAGACCTATCGCACAGATGGCCGCGCACTAACCAACTGCACTGTGGTAATCCTTTACGGCTTCCCGATGAATGAAATCTTTAATAACTATTGTTACGACAGTGATGACGTGGATGACAATAACGATGATAATACAGATAATAATGACAATGATGATAACGATAATGACGATCTGATGATGATAATAGGGAGTGTTAGCATCACCGACGGCGACGGCAGCGAAAACATCACTACTGAAATGAATTCGCGTTTTTTTCATTTTTCCAAATTGCTCAAAATGTCAAATGTAGGCGAATGTCCCCGAGTTGCTTTCTTGGGGACCGTACTCGAGCTTAGAAAGAGAAAGTAAAATTTGTGGTCGCTTGTTTACGTCCTCCAGTAAAACGTGAAAATAGGCATTTGCACGTCGTAGTCGGGCAGTGACGGCAAAGAAATGTACCATAAAGCATGATGCACGTGCAAATTTTTTTTTCCCAATGAAACCTATTGCTTTTGTGACGTTCTCGTTGCAGTCACTGGCGTCGTTGCTAAAGCTCCCTAATGACGATGATGACGTGGATGACGACAACGATGATGTTAATAATGATGATGATAACGACGGCGATGACTTTGGTGACGATATTTTCAGTGAAGATAATGTTTATCAAATCGTTACTGTTAAACACAGCAAACCTACGGACATAAAATAATCGCACAACCCCTCATCCCCGAGCTCTCAGGTCCATTTCGGGCGACATGATTCTGGTTTCGGGCGACTTGACCGGTTATACCCCAATATGCACCCACCTTTTTCTTGGATATATTTTCTCGGGCATTCATCAGGAAAGCGATGGACTTTCTCAACTTTTCATTTTGCTCCTCCAGAGTCATAATTCTGATGTTGTTCGCCATAACCTGCCGTTCCATATCTTGCGCTACTTCCGCCTCAGAAGGGCCTTCACCATTGAACATAACTCCTTTATCGGACTGAGATTGGGCCGATTGTTTGGCGTCAATGGAGGGAAACTCAACCACCAGCTGTAGTTTTTCTTCGCTTTCCTTCAGCTGGTGCTCAAGTTCGCTTGTCTTTACTTCAAATTCTTCAACTTCCTGCAATAGCTTTTCCTTCTCGTTTTTTAACTCTTCCAGAAGACTCTGTCAAAAAAGAAGAGCTTCTTATCTGCTGGTGAAAACGAACTTGCTAATATTAGGCAAAAAGATTAATTAATTGGAATGGTGATATTATTACAAAGATCGGCTATTGCCTCGCCGATTAAAAAAAAACTATCGCTGTAAAATGACCAGCTCTGGGCAGGTTTTTTTTTTTTTTTTTTTGGGGGGGGGGGGGGGGGGGGGGGGGGGGGGGTTTTTCCTCCCACCCCCCCGGCGCGGCGGAACGACACCAAAAAACAAAACACCCCCCTCCACTCCCCCCCCCCCCCGATAACAAACAGCAGTTCGTATGTCGGGCTCGTGACGGGGGGGGGGGCGCGTATCTAGATTTCTATTTTTTTTTTTTTTAATTTTTTTTTTTTTTCATATGTTTGTTTTCTTTTTTCATAAAAAAAAAAAAATTAAATGAAAAAAAAGAGGGGTTTTTTGTTGTTTTTTTTTTTTTTTTTTTTGGGGGGGGGGGGAGGGGGTTGGAGAGAGGGGCTATTCTCCACTCCACTCTGACAGGCAGGTTAGCAGAACACAAACTCGTAAACTCCCTGTCTCCTCAACCGCAACAGTGTTAACTAAGTTCAGTTGGTAGAGCGCTTGTCTGCAGGGCGGGAGGTCGCGGTTTCTAACCAAAACAGAACTCAAGGTCTTTAAACAAATGGGAAGAGGGTAGTACCTTGTTTGCCATACAATGATCTACAAACGGGCTGACCTTTGTGTAGCTGAAATAACCGCGTAGAAATGACAACAAATGATACTTTTTTAAAAGGTTTTTGTAGTTTACAGTCATGATCAAACTATAAAGAAACGGTAGCACACCTGTTTGGAGTCAAGTTCTTCGGCAAGCTTCTCCTTCTCTGTCTGCAGATCTTCCACCACTCCCTGTAGCTCATCCTTCTCGCCTTCAGCGTCCATCACCCTTTCTCTTAACTGCTCACATTCAGTGTCAAGCTCATCAACTCTTTTGAGAAGTGCATCATGTTTGCTTTGCAATGCCTACAACAGAACATTGGGAAAGCAAAGTAATCAGTCTGAGCCTAGTTGTTCAAATGATGGATAGCGCTATCATCCAGATAAATCACTATCCAGTGGATATTAAAGTGTTAGAAGGAAAACCTGTTGCGGTATACACTAGATAGTGATTTTTACACTGAATAGGCTAAGTGTTATCCACCATTAAAAAAAGGGAACTGGTCCATCAAAACACCATTATCACCCCTGCTGGTTTGGCAATTATGACTAACATGTTGCTACTGTAAATCAATGATTGCTGAGGTTGAGACTTGGCAAATTTGAAAAAAAAAAATGCTATGTTTTTAACTACCAGGTCCCAACAACCTCAAAGGTGTATCAGCTTACAACCATTTGCTCCTGACGATTTTGCCAAAAATCCACTTTTGAAGCTAGTCGAGCTGTTTACTGGTCACTGTCTGGCTTTAAAGAGCTAAAACTACCCAAAGCGTTGTTTATAAGTCAAGCACTTTGCAGCCTTCTATTCCAGGTGTAAAATATCAGCTTTCAAAGATCAGGAATTGATCTCTTTTCCCTGTACAAGTACAGGGGAAACTGTTAAACTGATGACATCACAAGCTGTAGAAGGGACTTGGATCCACATAAGTAATTCAGGGGCAAATGAGTTACCCCTTTAAGCTCCAATACCCACATAAAAATTCTCCAGACTCATTTCCATTTACACATTTCCTTGCAAAATTAGTTGAGAGAATTTTGGTAAAATATCAGAACATTTTCCCATTGGTGTGCATTAGATTACTTCTCATAACCTCTTCTCTTGATTATGCATTGATATTGTGTGGTTCCAAAAATTATCCATACATGTACCTTCCCCACAGAAGGGATTTTTCCTTAGATCCCCCACCTCTCTGGAAATTCCAGTCAAGCTTCAAACATTTACTTAAATTTTTGGGCCTTTGAGAACCCCCTACCCCCAAGGAATTTCCAATCCCTTCCGTGGGGGGAGTATGGATATTTTCTGGAACTACACATTGTTAGGAGAAAATTGATGTTGGTCACTCTTTGGACTTAAAAGGGTAAACTGTAATAAACAATGTGAAATGATTCTTACATGCTCATGCCTCTCCATGGTTTTATTCCTGGCCTGTGTTTTACCAAGCTCAATAGCAGTACTCTTCAGTTTGGCCTGAACTTCATCTAACTCCACTTTCAATGTCTGCACCTCAGATTCAACAATTGTCAGCCTTGCAACTTCTTTTGATTCTTTGTCTAACTCTGTTAACAGCCTGGAGTTTTCTTCCCCTGGACCAAAGAAAGACAAATTTCAACGTGTTGAGTCATCCCAAATTATCTTCAACAGTAAAATGTGGTGTGACAAGGCACAAAAAGCCTCTGTGCAAGGACTGACAGTACAAATGACCTACATGTATGTCAGAAGGCCATTTTTATCTACCACCGTGTGGCACGAAATTTTTGCGGGTTCTAATTTTTGCGATTTTTTCCAGCGATCCACAAAAATAAGTTCATGTACAGTGTAGTCCCTTTGCCCCCTTGCAGTGTTGTTAAAAAGTGCATTTTGGGAAAGTTAGTGATTTTCAACTTTGTGAAGGGGGAGACAGGGGAAATCAACCAAGTGTTCCTACTATTTAAAAGTGATCAAAGACACTACAAACTTGGGATTAAAGGCATATTTTGGGTGGAATCCCAGTGACAGGATCATCAACCAACCTACCAAGGTCTTTTATAGATTCTTTATATTTCTTTCTCTTCTCTTCTAACTTTATGACCATCTCCTGGAGGGCATCTTTTCCTTTCATAAGATCATTGTTTAGTTTCTCAGCATCTGACAAAAGAAGATCTTTTTCAGCAACAACTGTTTTAAGCTGTTGATGGAATTTTTCTTCTTTTCTTTGAGTTGCATTCTGCTCCTCTGAAAGCTGATTCTGTAAATCTTTGATTTGCTTCTCCAGATTAACACAAGCCTGTTTTGATCTACTAAGCTTATCCTCCAAAGGGTTAATTTGTGCATACAAGTTATCTAAATGATCATTTATTCTTTTCAAATCCTGGTTTTGTTCTGATGCCCACCTGGAGACATCAGCCGCAGCCATAAGTGATTGTCGCAAGAGTTTCTTTTGTTTAGCCAATGACGAGGGAAGCCCTTGAGATTCGCATACTTTAATAACCATACTACCAACTTCAATCAAGTTCTGTTGGGTTCTTGCACAAGCTTCACAAGGTATAAATGCAGTATCATATGTCTGTGTTGATGATTCCTGACAAGTCTTTGCACAAGCAACATCTTCCACTGCCAGTGAAAGATCCTGTGTTGGAGATGAACTTTCTAGTGATAACTCCTCAGATGGAGAGAGGATAAACTTGACAGAAGTTCTGTTAGAACTCTGGCTTTGAATTTTGCCTTTGACAACAGATGATTTGCCTGACTTTTTGTCCAAAGCCTGTTTAAGAAGCTTGACTTCCTCTCTAAGGTCAGTGATAGTATCCTCCATTTTAGACATTGTCTTATTCTTAGTTTTGCTCTCAAACTGTAGCTGCTGTGTTGTCTGTTGCACATGAACTAGTTTATTCCAGAACTTCTTTGCAACCAGTCCTACAGACATTGATGAGCCAAGAATTTTCCCGCTAGCAGGCCTGCCATCACATGAGGTCAGCAGCTGTTCAATAAAGTGAGCCATACCTTGTAGAAGAAGCACAAGCCTGATTTAGGAAAACAAGATTCTGCTGTCAACTTTCCTTGATTGACTATTTAAACAAAGCAAACGCTATTTATGTTAATTCATTTATTGGTGTTAAAGTCTTGAATTCTCTCCTAGTAGACATGTTCCAAAAAGAGGTGGTTTTTTTTTCTCTATTTTGTGGATATCTCTCTGCAAAATAGGTGAGTAGACAGTGCCAGTCATAATGATGTCTGCCTAAAGTTGACGGTATTGGTACAGTTTTGTTGGTAAAACGTGCAAATTTTCCCTAGTATGACTTCACATTTCTTGAATAATCTCACAGGTCTATCATTTAGTCCCTGGAAAAGACTACTATTGTAACTTTTACCTTAAACCCTTTAGTCTTCACTCTCTAATTAAAATTACTATAATGTTAATAAGAGGTCAAACCTTTGAGAGGTAGACTTCACCTTACCATAAGATAAAGGTCAGTGAAAGACTTAGGGCTATATATTTGGTGGCCAATTTGGCACAGCAATAGATGGTGTTAGATTTAACAACCAAAATGATTGATTCTTTTGTAACAGACCAATTTTGATATCTTAAAATTCACACTTGACTTCAATGAGAATAAAACTAAAGGCACCACCTCGAGGTCAGGGTAGAATAGTACATTTTTTCTGTTTTATTCCTTAAGCTTCAGAGCCATGTATGAGTTTACGAATTATACTGAAATCAGTCTAAGTTTAATTGAGGAGCAAATGACTCCCCTTTTTTGATAGGTGGTCAAAAGACTATTCCGTGAATACAGCCATCTCTCCTTGCTCCTAGCTGCTGTGCCTCAGTGACAGAAATTCCATACTGATGACATAAAATCTGTCTAAAATCTGGTCAGGAGCTCTAATTAGTTGATGTAGCAGTCAATCGTTTACATATCACAGACAAAAGACAAAGGGCCACAAAAGTCAAATGTAAGCATGATGAATCTACTACAAAACAGTCAATGTTCGTGCAAAAGAAGAAGAAGCATTTGAGTTTTGCCGGAGCTCGTTCGCAGAAGGACACAAAACTTTACCATAATCAACCAAGAGACACATAAGACCGAGCAAATTTAAACTGGAAGCCCATGACTACCAGATCAATTATGTAAACAGTGATTTACAGCATCAGTATGGAATTCAGTCATTGAGACACAGTCATCTTTCCTGCAAAACATCCCTAGTGCCAAGGATTGAGGAAAGACGGCTGTATTCGCAGGCTATTAAAGGACTAGGTGGCCTGGTATCTTCAGATTAGCTAGTCAAAAGAACCAAGACATGCCAGTTACCTGTCAATCAACAGTTCAAACAGGATAATATGTGATAGCTTACAATGATCTTCGTCATTTGAATGAGAGTATCTTTCCAGCAGTTCTTCAATGTCCAATTCACATGCTATTTTGTCAGGATATTTCCATGAGGGGCTTCGCACAGGGCCAACTCTGGACAACAAATCCAACACAGTTGTTTGAACATCGGTGATGTCCTGCTTCAAGCTTTCCAGACAAGCTTGACTTCCAAGGAGGTGAGCCATTTGGATTAAAATCGATCAGATCGCTAAATTCAAATTGCTCCTCTGTTTCAACTTCAGAATGAGCTTTTTTACGATACAAACCGGAGCTGCTTTTTTATATTTACAGCTTCATTACCAGGAACTTATATCCACACAATCCATCTTCATTAAGGGTTATTTCCGATGATTGGATGATTAAAATCTTACAAACAAGAACATCAGCGACAGAAAATTTGAGGCCATCGGTGAGCTCTATGACTTTTTGACTTATTCATTCCAAAGGTAAAACATCAAACGGTTAAAAACCAAAGCAAATCTGGGAATTATAAGCAAACTGATGGTTACTTATGTTTCCTTGCAAATCAGAAACTTCATAATTCTTACTTTTTTTCTGTCACAAGGACGCCATGTTTGCTTTGGTTACAGTATATGTCCCACCATGCAGTTCAAACCTTGCTCATAGTGCCCAGTCTCCAGATTTGCGCCAAATTTTGTCCTGCAAATATGGCGGAAGGACAGGCTTTCGTTTGTCAGTGTTTTTTTACTCATAACATATTCTTAAAGAACTATGAAGCCCATGTTGTGTTCGAAAGCGAAGAACAGTTACAGTGTGATTATCGCAGGGTATGTAAATATTGATCTTTTTGTCTTGTAACTGGTAAAGTTACGCTGTAACATATAAGCGTAAAGGTGTAATTCTTTGATTGTTATTTGAATACTTGTGTTTGACACAGGCACTTTGGGATGGAGGCTGTAAAACTGATGAACAGTGGAAAGAATTACTGACAGAGGTGATTCAAACATAACTTTTAGCAACAGTTTCCCTTTGACTAGCGTAGCAGCTCTTGTAAACTTGTAAGTTCATTTATAGTCCACAATAAAGGACAAAAGTGTTGAGACACTTCCACAAAATGGCCCCTTTTTCGCATAGTGGACATATCTATCCCCTCCCCCTCCATACTCCCACCCCCTCCTCACCCAAATCAATGTTGTGTTTTAAAACCCTCAAATCTTTGTTCAACTACAAGCGAAACTTTGTGAGAGCAGTCACATGATCAGCACTGAATGTTTCTTATGAATGCTTTCACTCAGAGGGTCAGGGTCAAAAGACAAACTTCACATGTTACAAACCTTATGCTAATGAGTTAAATCTTTTGTTTTTGCTCATTATCATAATTTAGGCTCCTAACACGTGAAGATTGATTTTTGACCATGACCTTGACTTTCCAAGACATTTTTTAACAAGGCTATCTCACAGTATAAGCTTGCATGGCAGGCATCTATGAGCTGAGTAAGGCAAACAGCGCATTTCGTGCAACACATAAAACAAGTGTTTCCTTTTGTTTAGGTGAAAAATGAAATAGAGAGGAGAAGAAATCTAGGCAGAGAATCACAGAAGCGGAGAAAGCTAATTGCTAATAAATATATACCACTACATCCTCATGTATATACTTTGAAGGTAAATATTGAGCAAGTAAGCTTAAAAAGTTACTTGCCCAGCAAGAAAATCTGCTAATCCTGGATTACTGGATGGGACTTTTTTTCAAGCTCTGATAGCCTGTGAGCTAGTTCTCTGGGGTGCTCTGGAAGCAGGGCGGAAAAAGGAAGGAGAGCTTGCAACCACGTCTTTGGAATTTGAATTTCACCTCCAATTCCCCCATGGCTCCTTGCCGACTGAGCTGTCAGATTTCTGCTAATCACCGTTAAGCAGAAACAAGCACGAATGAAAACAAACATTGAAAAACATGTGCCAAGGGTAATGACATCATTACTAATGTCATCTCCGCCAATCAGCATTTCGCATCGACTTTTTCGATGCAGATATTCAAATTCCAGAGACGTAGTTGCAAACCCTCCTTCCTTTTCCCACCCCATCACCTGAGCACCCCGGAGAGCTTGCTCGCAGGCTAGAGCTCTGATAGTGTTGGTTAATTGGTTCCTATAAATAACATAACTGCTCTACCAGAAAAAAGTAAAAACTTGGTTGTTGATTGTGTCATTTCCAATCTACATTAATAACTGTTGCTGTTAGTTCTTGCAGTCTCTATCTCACATCTAACAGCCTTTTTCCCTCACAGCACTGTGTGCATATTTGTCTTTTGTTTATCCCCAGAAGGCTATGAGTTGTGGATTTGATGTATTGATAATTATTTTCTTTTTCATCATACATTGATATTATTTTTTGTGTGTGTCCCATATTTCCATGGGAGGATAGGGATCCTAGGGGAGGGGGTATGGCTTAACATGGGTCATATATAAGAGAAGACTTGTCACTGAGACTTCCAGGAACACAACTCCATTTTTGGGTGCCTTCTTATAGAGAATATGCCATTTTTTCTGAACCTTAAGCTAAATTTTCAACAAGTCAAAGGTTTTATTGGTTTCATAACCTTTTACAGTTTTTTTGAATAAAAAAATATACTGAAAAACTGACTTGAGCAATGAAGTACTATTTTCTTTCATTTCAGGAGTCATTCCTCGCAGAAAGTTTTTTAGCCCTGGTTCATTATGCAAAGGATGACCTGGAGGCTACAACTGCGGGGTTACTTTCCATAGTAAAGCAGTGTGATGGCAAGTATGGCTTGAGTCTTTTTTCAATCTAGAAGACCAGTGATGTCAATGATAATAATAATTACAATAATAATGATAATAATAATAATTGGTCCTTATTCATCAGATAAAATACATATCAGATGTTACATAGAAATGTTAAGAAACAAGTGCAAAGTACAGTTGTATCAATTCCAAGCAAAGAAAAAAAGCTGCAATAATTATTGTAAAATCAAATATTTGCACAACTAGGTTATACTTCAAATTAATCTATTAAAAAAGCTATCTAATATGTTTATTCAGGTAAATTAAAATATCCATACAGCTAGGTCCTACTTAAAACTAATCTGTTAAAAAATATATTTTTGAAAAGTTCAGTATTTACACTAAGTCTTACAATGGATCCATTTCTAAGTCACCCTGATATGTCCTTGTATGGGGAGAGATTATAATTTAATGAATGGTCACAATATTTCAGTGTAAGAAACAGGTGGCATCCACTTTTTTCCCAATTACTCATGGATGTTATAACCAACAGATATATAGTGCCTGATCTTGTGATATCTTGTTTAAAACTTTGCACAGCAGTAAGGTCTGAAACGCGAGGCTCATAAACTGAAAATCCGTACATTATTTTAGGCACAATCGCATTAAAAAGAAGGTCAATTTCTCCTTGAGTATATCCTTCCTTTTCATTGAGAACTAAAGTCATGTTTTGCATATATCCTTCAGCCAAGAATGTCTTCGCCTTTCAAGTATTTACTCCAGAATTTTGTCAGGAGTTTATTGAGGAAATAAACCACTTTGAAAATACAGAACTACCAAAGGGAAGACCAAACACAATGAATAACTATGGGGTATGTTGATCCATTTTTACCATATCTATTATTACTATGATAGTTCTGAGGTTTAGCAAGAGTGAGCCTCGCAGAAGGCAATGTTTGTTTGACAAAAAAACAGCATAGCTGTAAATAGGTTGAAGTCAGTCAAAATATAGAGGAAAAAGCATACCCCATCCTCCACCCTCCCAGCTCTTCATAGCAGGTGAAATATTCCGTGCCCAAGAGCTCCTCTGAATGTCTTCAGGGCTAGGGTAAGTGCGAAATTTGAACTCAGATATTAGAGCTTAAAAAAACAAATTCAGTTTTTTTCTCTTTGCCTACAATTTGATGATTGGATGCTCTAAAAAGAATATAAAAAATTATCCAAGAGAGTGCTGTTGATAAAAAGATAAAGAAGCCCAGGTTAAAATTTAACCCTGGCTTAACGCTAACCGGTGTTCGAACAACTGGGCTCAGGGCTGTAACTATGCGAAAATATCGTCACCAAAGTTCCGTCTGAAAACAAATTAATTTATAGCCAGCTATCTTTACCATGTGCATTTTTTAAAGCACACAAAATATCCGATAATATTTATATTTATAAAAACTTTTGTTGCAAAAACAAGCAACAATTTTGAAAAGGTGGTTGGATGTTCCTCGAGAAGCAACCAAGAGATTTCACAATAATGAGAAAATATTCCTTCCAAAACTTCTAAAAATCCAAAACTGAGATCCTCGTTTCTGCACTTTAGTATTTATTAATTTTGAGTCAATTATTAAGCTAAAAGTGAAGGGTTTCTGGAATAAAACTCTAAGTAATTTCTGATAAACTGATATAATCTCATTTTAAACTCATGTTATCATGTAAAGAGAGATTTTGAGTCAAGGGTCCTTAGGGGCATTTTTCCATGGACCTTTTAAAAATAGTATCTTTTGTTCAATCTTCTCACTGAAAGGTCTGTAAGTTACAAAATTAATCATAGTAACTTTATTTGTAGTAAGGATATTTGTTATGTCAAAGAGTTAAAGACTAAAAATATTAAAAAGAGTAGGGATCAAGATGGTATGGCATGGGATTCTAAGTTCTGCTACAGGTTACCTCCAGCAGGGTGCAAAGAAAGTCTGTTTAACAACCTGCCATTCGGGTAAGCTGTAGCTAGCATGTACTAGCCCACAAGTCATTTCAACTAGCCCCAAAACCCTTTTTGATTAGCAGGATTGATTACAATCTTTCTGTGATTTGAATTTCCCAAAAAAAACAGCACTTGCCCATCAGGCAAGTAAAGAACAAAAATCACTAGCCTGATAGCAAAATCCACTAGCCCAGGGTTATCGGACATGACTTTCCTTGCATGCTGTCTGCGGTCAAAGAATCTTTGGGTGTGTTCCTTTGGGATGATCCAATGAACCGATGAATCCTTTCCAGACAAGGGTTCGTCAGTTCATTTGATCTACCATGATCCAAGTGATATCGGATCACTGATCCTGATCTGATTAATCTTAAAGCAATGCACCCTTTATCTCCTGGGCTGGGCTGTTCAAAGCTGGGTTAAGATAACCCACAGTTAGTGCGAAATTTGAATTCAGATGTAAAAGCTAAAAAATTAAATTCAGTTTAATTCTTTTTGTCAACAAGTTGATCATTGGATGCTCTTAAAAACAACAGATAAAATTATCCGAGAAAATGCTTTTGAACAAAATAAAAAGAAACCGGGCTTAAATTTAACCCTGGATTTAATGCCAATCGGCCTTCAAACAACTGGGCCCTGTTATTACTTCAGGTGGACACAAGAAACTTCAAACTGTAGCATAGCAACTGTCCTGGCTGCCTCTACATTAACTTGATCATTATCGTTATTTTCTCTATTGAAGATGTTGTATATGTTGTGAGTGAGGATGGGGGATCAGGGAATTCCCAGAATGCTGTTATTTATTCATTAATCTTTTACCACATATTAAAATTGCCATACAAAATTTCAAATTGATGAAGCAACAAAGCCCATGTAGGTCAATATGGCTTATAAAAGGGACTACCTTTAAAAATATACATGACTAAATTATGAAATAAATACTGATATCGTAACATAGAAAATGATGAGCAATAATAGGATGAAAATGTACAAAAGTGAAAAAGAGGAGAAAAGCAAAAGAAGCTTAGATTCTATTATGTTCAATCTTAGATCTTACTCAACGAGCTTGGCTTTGATGAGGGATTCTTCTCACCTCTACGAACCAATTACCTGATGCCTATCACCAGATTATTGTTTCCTGAATATGGAGGGGATTCCTTGGATTCACACAAGGCATTCACTGTACATTACAAGATAGGAGAAGATCTGCACCTTAGTTATCATTATGATAATGCTGAAGTCACATTAAATGTGTCACTTGGAAAGGAGTTTATTGGTGGGGAACTTTTTTTCGGGGATATGAGGCAGGTAAATATATTTTAAAAAAATCACGTTAATTTGATGCATCTTTTAATTAAAATTTACGTCGATGTTAACTATTTTACATCATTGTTGTTTTACAGCAAAATGGACGTAAAATAAAGTTAGGCGCATATTGTTTTGAAAATTTCGCGTTAATTTGATGTATGTAAACCCAACTTTTGGAAAAGTCGCGGTTAATTTTGTGTAACGTAAATTTTCTTCGAACTGTCAACGTGCTTCGTTACTTTCCTATAATAAGGTAATACTCTTTCCTGATGTTCACACTGTTTCTAGTTTGCTGAGGTTTAACATCCAGAGCTTCTTCAGCACTTCACAAATTGAAACACTTTTAATTTTTCACCTTTTTCATGAATTTAGGTTCCCTTGAAAGAAACAGAATGCACCCAGTGTGAACATAAACCAACCTATGGCCTTCTTCATCGAGGACAGCACATGCATGGTGCCTTACCAATTCAGAGCGGGGAAAGAATCAATTTAATCATATGGATGCGCTCTTCTGCAGTGCGCAACAAGCTGTGTCCAATGTGCAACAGGATACCCAGGCTGGTGCCATCTTTTGGAGGATCTGGTGACGGGTATACTGTTAACCCTGTGTCAGTCTGTGCTGCTCTGTAACGTCATCAAGTGCCATTTTCCTTACCTGATAGCCCCTTCGACGCGTTAAGGCGTTGCAAAATTCGTTCAAAATACTGTAATCATTACCACGGTCTCGAGAAAGTTTGCTCGTGAATTAAGGTTAATTTAGAGAGAGAAACGCGCGCCTTTGTCCTCTCTCCTTTTAGGCCTGCTTCTTGTCAACTCGCTCTGTTCTTTGCTTAACTCGCCTTAACGTTCTTGATAGGCGGTGAAGCATATCTACATACGTACATACATACACATATACCGCGGCAGGATTAGCTCAGTCGGTAGAGCGCTTGACTGCAGAGCGGGAGGTCGTGGGTTCGTTTCCCGGGGTCGGACCAATACTCAGGGTCTTAAAATAACTGAGAAATGAAGGTACTCCCTTTATTTATTTTTATTTATTTATTTATTTAGTCACTCACAAAACCTTACACAACATGAACAAAAGGTGTTAATTAAATTATAAAACTAATGTGACAAGGAAGCCTAACGAAGCTTGAAGCTTATATTAATAGGTTTCCTTCAACTACCTAGTGAACTAAGTTCATGGCTGAGTGCAGAGTGAGCAAGATCAGAAAATTAAACGACAGATCGGCTATCAGTGAGATAATTCTTTAAATTTTTTTTAAAAACAGATATAGAAGGAGAGCTAATTAGTGAAACAGGCAACGAATTCCAGATTTTAGGTCCTCGGTAAAGGATACTGAATTGCTTTATATTTGTTCTACAAAAATGAGGTCTATATTGAGAGGCTAGTCGAGTTTCGTATTGATGGACTTGATTACTACTTAAGAACAAGTCATGAAAGCTATTAGGCAAAAGATTATGGTGATAAGAATACATAAAGGTAGCGACAGAAAATGAATTAATACTAAATATGTCAAGGACTTTAAGCTGGCTAAATAAAGGGGCGGTATTTGCTAGATAGTGAGCTTTTGTTATGAGTCGCACTAGACGCTTTTGCAAAAGGTAAATACAGTTTAGGTTGGAACAGTAGGTGGAGGACCAGGCGACATTACAGTATGTTAAGAAGGGATATACAAGGGAGTAATACAAGGTCATCAAAGTTTGGGATGATAGGTAAAAGCGGGCTTTCGCAATAATTCCCACACTTTTCGAAATTTTTTTTGAGACGAAATCAATATGTGGTTTCCAAGAGAGATGCTGATCAATGAGAACACCTAAAAATTTTGTCTCCGTGACTTGCTTGATCACGGTATTTTCCAGAGTAAGAGGGACATTAACATTGACTTTCTTTTGCCTTGGATGAAAAATCATAAAATTTGTTTTAGTCAGATTTAGAGATAACTTATTCACTTTAAGCCAAATAATTATTTTTGCAAGTTCATTGTTAACAATAGAAACGACCGTACTTCCTTTGCCCTGCAAATGGCTTTGCCCTGCAAATGGCTAGACCTTCGCGTGGCTCGGATGACCACGTAAAATGGCGGTCCCGTCTCCAGTAGGAGACGTTAATATAGTGTCCCCAATTAGCACCTCCGTGCTAAATACATTGAAACTCAAATAAAGTGCTTTTTTTACACTATTTTTCAACTCGAATTATCAGAATAGCTCTGTTGAGTTCATATCTTAGAGAACAATAAATAAATTAATGAATCATAATTAATATTCAAAATTCTAAACTTTAATGAGTTATTACAATACATAATTAAGACTAAAATACTAAAAGTTCGTTTTTTTTTCTGGCTCTCATAAAATCATTTATTGATTCTGTTGTTCTCGTGCTGTCTGAGAACAAGTTCAAAATTTTCGCAGCTTGGTAACAAATAGACTTACGTCGGCCGTAACTTGTGATTCTTGGTATAGGTAAAGTCAGCATATAACTAGAATGTTTTGATCTTTGGCAGGGCACGCGAAATAGACAACTCCATATTTTGGCTTGCAAAAGATTGATATGATTAACTACAGTGGTACATGTAAGCGCGCCAACTACTTGACGCCTAGTTAAGAATCAGTCCGGATTGTAATGCGATTCTGCAAGTTGGCGACTCTCCTTAAAAGCTACCGTACTTCCTTGAATAACCGCCCAGGTTCTTATTTAAAATTACGGCTAAAACGGGGTCGGGTATTGGAAGGAGGGCACTTAATCGAGGGGAGCGTACCGTAGTCCCATTATAAAACACTTACACATTGGTATGCATCCATGTTTATAAATTATTGATTATCTCATCATCCATCGAGATCATCCTCCTCAATGACATACGGATCTTCGAATTCCCCTTGCATCCCTACTATCAGGAGCTGCTACTATTTAAGAAAGCAAGGGAGTGGGGAAGGGGGCGCTTGTATGATATTATGGTCTAAGGGGAGGGAGCTTATTGGAGCATGCGCGCTTATTATTCGGGGAAACGCTGTGATGGTGGTGTCGGTATTCTGCTATTTTACCTGCTTTTTTTACGGTTGAAAAATAGAGAAGGGCTATTCATTAAAGGGTATTTTTGACTTTTTAAAATTTTAACCCCCTCACCCCTAAAAGACCTGATGGTGGCCGAAAAAAATTCACGTGGAAATTCAAATTTCCTTTTGTAAAATGTAAGAAATATGTAGTACTATGCAAACGTTTTACCAAAGAGGTTTGATTTGAGCGGTAACACCGTGGGATTTCGCCCTCAGATTTAAGAGTTAGAGTGATAATTAATCTCGCCACTAGAGCGATTATTACCTGTATGAACAACGTTCTACATTTATTTCAGATCATTTCTGCGCCCCTATTGTCGCACTCACCTCTCTCATCCGCAGTAGTTCCCGCTTGGTATCCATAATAAAAAAATAGCAACAGCGCGGAGACGTCGGTCGCGCGCTCTCTTTTTTCCCTCCCCAGTCTCCCCACGATACAAAGAGGCCTCTGCGGAGGAAAGAGCACACTGACAGCATTGTTTTACGGAAATCCATCAATGCCACATTCTAGAATACACCTTGCCAGTGTCTAAAGTTTTAGCTATTTTTTTTTCAAAAAGCTTTGTATAGGTAATGGCATGTTTTATAGTGATTGATATTTGGCATAAATACCACGAGTGATATTTCGAAATCAGTCAGTATAAAACACGGATTGCGGACTGGGTACAAAATACGGACTGAGGACTACGTTGGTAAAAACGGTGCTAATTGTTCTAGGTAAGGAAAAATAAGATCAAAAGATCGCTAAATAGCAAGACACGTGGGTTTAAGTTAAAAATACTCCTAGAAATTCTTGCTGGAGGTGAGCTGCCCGGTTCTCTGAAACGTGAGCCTGACGTCAAAATCGCTATTTTCTACACCCATTTTTAACAATCATGAAAGGAGTTAGGACCCGGGGAGGGGGGTACTCACTTATATAAGCCATATAGGTATGTGCCGCACCGAAGTGTAGTGGTTTTGGGTCTTTTTGTCTGAAAACACTGGAATCGGGTATGGGTTTCGAGGAAACTACGGGAGCGTATATTAGTATGAACGTATTTATCGTTTCAATTCCAAATGAATAAGAACGAAATAAAAATATATGCGAATTCGAACTGCATTTGAAGAATTTTTTTTGTTTGCGCTTTAATCTGGTAATGATCATAATTTCTGCCTAATCAGGCCTAGCCTGTTCATGTTCCAGGCTACGAGATAGTTGGGTCCGCCTAATTGAGAAAGCGCGAACACGGAAATAAAACGGTAGGAAACTGGGGAGTCTCCCCCACTATCTGAGAGCCTCGAACAGGCTAGATAAGGCCATCCGGCTAAAATGGATCTGGATTTTAGAGATCTGGTCAGCAAACGGGTATGGAAAATGACATTTTTTGGTATGAAATAGGGTCAGGATTTGGAGAACTGGGCGGCACACCCCCACCAAAGATTACCAGGAGTACCCCCCTTCAGGGGTCAGGAGCAGGGCGTAAATCATGTTGGATGATTCATTTCGGTTATTATTCACGAGGATGAAGTATACCCATGAACTCGTTGATACAAACGGAGGAGCTTTGCTCCCGGAGCGTGCCCCTGAAGCATGTTCCAGGAGCAAAATCCCTCGTGTGTATTGGCCTTTATACCGACCGATTTCGAAATTGTTATATGTAACTTCACGAGACCATTTAGAAATATCACGCAGGGTATTTACGCCGAATATCACGTACAAATCATGCTATTATTTGTTTATACTACTACCGGCAAACGGTTTGTAATTTTCACATGTATAGGTATGTCGAGTTAAGCTGAAATACCTCTACTCTAAGCCAATCAAATTGCAGAAATTTCTCATGTAGTAGTATAACTACCAGAATACTGATAGATGAAGATTTTTAATCCAGTATGTTCGTTTTAATTGAGTTGATAACGTCAATTTTCTACTTTAAAACGATTGAAAAGCCGGCGGCAATGGAACGAATGACTCGCTCTGACGAACAGCTAGCGTTGGAAACGTTAGTCTCCTTCGCAGCCGCTCGAGCCGGAGTCATGTATTGTCGCCTTCACCATTCCCAGGCAATTTGATGACGTCATAAGTGGTACAAGGGGCGTCGTTCTACGTAAGGGGTTGAAATTGGAATAGATCAACCTTGGGTAGCCTGCGTAGAAGGCGCTTGGATCTAATACGTGTGTTCCAATCGCTCATACGAAGGCTCAACCTTGGGTACCCATACTGTTAACTGTAACTCGAAAAAAACTGTTAACAACTTCAGCTCATCGGTGGTATCCTTAGAGCCCCCGAGCTTGAGCCTCTTCCCCTGTGGCTCTACCTTGTCAGATCATTGTAGGTACGATAGTACAGCGCCTTATGGGTGAGGTCCTTGGCCACGATCCAGTTGGTATAGTCTTCGCTGGCAACTCCACGGGGAATATCCACAGTATTTAGGATATGGATAGCCAAGTTTACGGCCTCGTCGCTGACGTCTTAACGAGATCAGCAAAGTGAGTCAGCGTAGCGGCGCGAACCAGTCTGGAGGGAGGTAGAGATCACAGAATGCATCAAGTGGTCGCTTACAAGAGGTCAGAGGCCCAGAAAGTGGTCGCGGTCG